CCCAGTGGGGTAAAATTATCTCTTGTCTAGAGAATTTGAGACCATGGGGATTTGACAAATTGGCAGAATCAAACCACAGCAGTTTATTTAGAGTCCCAAGCTGAAAAGTTAATATAGAATCCAAACTCTGATATACAAACTAAACAATGTGAGATAAAAGATAGATTACTCCATCAATACAAAACACAGATCAGTTTAAAAAAAACAAAAACTACTGGTGCTCACTAAAATGGGAAATGCTGGCAAGAGCAAGAAGGGAAGGGATAAAAAACACACTTCAAAATGTTGAGAAAGATTGCTAGAAAGAAAGAACATTCTAAAAATATTACATGCCACTTTTTTGTGAGTGCTCAAGGAAATAAAACCATAGTTACATTTGCTATTTTCCTCTTTTAGACTACCATCTGGCAATCCACACTTCCAGGAGAAAAAAGATTCTATCCAATGGGACTAAAATAGTTAATGCACCACCCCATGTGTCAAAAATATGCCAGAGAATCTAGAGTTTGCTCAGTCATGCCCCCAAAAGGAAGACTTCATGTCCTTAAAAGACAAATAGCTCATAGCATGTTTACCCAACTTTGAAATTCCTGCCTACCTTGGGGAACACAAGGTCAAGAAGTAGCAGGAGGAAAACTACAATAAAAGTAATTTTAAACCTGGATACAGTGGCTCATATCTGTAATATCACTTACTCAGAAGACAGAGATCAGAAGGATTGGGGTTTCAGGCCAGCCCAAGAAAAAAGTTAGCAAGACCCCATCTCAACAAGCAGAGTGGTATTTACCTGTAACCCAGCTAGGTGGGAAGCACAGGTGAGAGGATCATGATCCAAGGCCAGTCCTGGGGAAAAGCATGAGACCCTATCCAAAATACAACTAAAAAAGAACTGAAGCACACACGCACACAAAAAATAGATGGAACTAGAGCACGTCATCTTAAGCGAAGCTAGCCAGGTTCAGAAGGCAAAAAGCTGCATGTTTTCTCTTATATGTGGAATATAGACCTAATACAAGTGCAGCAATATTATGAAAAACAGGTCATGCTAAGGGGAAAACATACAAGAGAGGGATTGTAAAAGAAAGAAGTTAAGAATGTGAATATGGCTGATCTACTCTATAAAAGAATGAATATATAATTTTTAAGTCTGTTAAACTACCATAAGAAGGGAAATCAGGTAGAAAGAAAAAGATAGAGAAAAACCAATTCGGGTTATAATACATATAAACATGGAAATGTCACAAGGAAACTCCATTTGTAGCTACCTTAAACAAACAAAAATGTCGTTTTTTTTTTTTTTAAAGCAAACAACAGGAGGGCAAAAGAGATACTGTCTGGAGAGGTTGGTACTAATGGGAAGGGGGAGTAGGTGAGAAAAGGGTGTGGGAGGGTGAATATAGTACAAATAGTGTGTACATGTATGTAAATGGGAAAAAATGATATCTATTAAAACTATTCCATGATATATTTGATATATTGTAAGAACTTCTGCAAATGTCACAATGTCCCCCCGTCCAGCACAGTAATAAAAAAAATGGCTGCAGTGTGATGCTAGCAAGCACAAGGCTGTTCAAACTCCCTTATCACCAAAAAAAGAGATAATTTTATACAACAGATAAATGATGTAATCAAGCTCATTTATTAACTTGTCCCCAAGACAGCTGAAGTTAAAAAAAAAAAAAACTTTACTAATCAAATATAGCAGAACACAACTGACTACAGGCATTGTTTTTCTGACATCATGTATATTTGTTAAGAATAAGTGAAACGATGGGGCAAATACACTGAATTCTTGTAATACTCTGCAAAAAAAAAGGCAGTGTAAAGATTCTGCATATAGTGAATACAGCATTTATCACTGTAACTAGGTCCACAACTACTTCCTTTCTCTTAATACCCAAAAGTTGCCAAAAGACAAACTGGAGATGGGATGAGTCACAGGCCCCAAGGGGCTTACATAGCAAGACCCTGTGTCAAAAAACACAATCAAAGAAACAAAAAGACAAACTGGTACAATCAGAGTAACATAGCTTTTACATTATCTTTCTCTAATCCATAAAGTATAGTCACTAGTGGATAAACTGCATTTATCAAATACAAATGTGAGCAGAATACCATGTATCACTATATAAACGCAAACATGTTTTGAGCTCTTTTACAAATATCCAGCAAGCTCAGCAGAACAGACATGGTTCTTGCTGACACACAGTTCCCATCCTAGTGCAGGGATTCCAGACAAACCATCAAAGGCTTGAGGTTTGTCCATGAGGAAGTAATAAACTCAACATCTCTCTAAAAGCAGAAAAGGAAAAAATTTAATGGATAAAACAGAAGACTTTAAGTGTAATTATTACTCATTCTCACAGAAATTGAGACAATGTCATAACCTTAAAAACAGATAGCCAGGTGCCAGTGGCTCACATCTTTATGCTAGCTATTCAGGAGGCAGAGATCAGGAGGATCGCAGTTCAAGGTCAGGCTGGCAAATAGTTCACGAGACCCTATCTCGAAAAAAACGCTTCACAATAAATAAATAAATTTATATGGGAATACTTATATAAAAATATTCATGGTCATAAAGCATGACAATAAGAGGTAAGCAAAGGAGGCAGGACTTAGGTTCCACACGTGAAGAAGAAATACAGTCACCACCACCAAAATCACAAATAGCCTCATCACAGGGAAGGGAATAGGTGAGGAAGGGAGCAGAAAAGCATATGGATGATAATTAAATCGAGATTGGTAGTAAAAAAAAGAAATTAGTTTAAATATGTACATTAAAATTTTAGAGGCAACCATGAAAAATTACGTTGAATAGATCTTTCACCTCCAAATCATCAGAGGAAAGAAATGACACAGAAAAGGCAACCAATCTAAGAGATAGCAGACGACATCCAACTATATGACTAGTCATAATAAATATGAATTACTTTACTAGTAGAGAGGCTCTCACATTGGAGTTTTGAAACATCCAACCACATGCAGTTTATAAGACATATGTTAATACATACGTAGATACATACCTAAGACAAAATGACACAGAACAGGTGAAAATAAGCAAATACAAAAAAGATGTAACAAATCAATAAATAATTTTTTAAAAAAAGTAAACAGCAATATTAACATATGGCCAATTGGACATAAAAGCATCAAATGGAAAAGGTACAAAAACTCCTGTTGATAAAATATGCAATTAGTTAAATTGTTGTGCCACAAACATTTATGTAGTTAGTAACGTAGCTTCAAAATACAAACTGCAAAAACAGATATCAAAACCAGAAAAAGTGACTTCCACAAGCTACTGTGTAAGATTTAAAACACCTTTCTCAGAACTCTACATTTCAAATAGCAAAAAAAATGAATATGAGGGGTTTTAATAAACTTGACTATATACATCTATATATAAAGGCATACACACAAAGAGAATATAATAAATGAACAGTTTAAAAGCTAACCTTATATTAGGTTACCAAAAAAAAAAAAGTCTCAAAAGCATAAACAAATTAGCATGTTCTCTGACCATACCTCAATTAAATCTAAGAAGAGTCTATTGAGCCTGTTTCATTTAGATTGACATCAGACGAACAAAAGTCTAAATGACAAGCTGGGTGAGAGGAGGGAAACAGGTGTTCAAGGAAACTTCAGATGGGAGCATGTATTTGTAATGCCATTTTATAAAACAATGAGATTATCTCAATTTGAAATTATTTATCAAAAATGTACATACTCCTTGACTCAACAATTATACCTCTTGAAACTCCTCTTACATAAAAAAACTTATAACATGGAGTACTAATTATAACAACAAAAAGCAACAACTCAAATACCCACCAATAGAAAAATGGTCAAATAATTTACCATTTATCCATTTCATAAAGTGCCAAGCACTGACATGGAAAGAATCTCAAAGACAATGCATTTTATGCAGGTTAAGCATAAAAGACACACATGTATAATTTAAGAATTATACATTCTTCACACTATCAAGTGAAGAATGACTAGAAAAAAGAAAAGAAGAATATACGTACGTTTTACTTATGGAGAAGGAAATGATGGAAAATGTTCATGTTTCAGTTTATACAAGTCTTTAAAATTTGAACCATTTATGTCTTGTAATGCTTGCGTAATTCAAAAACAAAGAAGAGTACTAACTTTTAAAAATGTCTTATTTCCTAGAAAAAACTAGGATCTTTTTATTAGTAGTACAAATTTGATCAAACCCATTTGTGAGTACAAACAAGTATAGACTTCCAATCTGTCCAATTAAAACACTTACAATTTTCTATACTAGGACTGGCCTTCCCTCAGACGTGGCTGACCATTTTATTTATTTTAAGTTTTCGACTTAAATACTGCTTTATCTGAGGAACATTCCCTGACTTTTCAATATAAAATGACAACTTTCCCCACCCATCCTACTCCAACCTACTTTACCCACCTTGCTTCCATTTTCACTAGAGTAACTTATCACTTATGTCTCAGAGTCCTTATCTTTAAAGTCATAATAGTACATTCTAAACACAGTTGTAAGAGAAATAGGAGCTCAGATAAGCTTAGATGAGAGTACCACACACATAGCAAAAGTCACATAGGTCTTTAATTTTGTTGTTGTTTTTGTTGGTTTTGTTTACTGTCTGCTTCCCCGTTAGAATGACAACCTGGGAGGCAGGGACTGTCTACTCTTGTATTCTGAGTGCTTGGGAAGTACATATCAGTAAGTGTTTGTAGTTGTGGAAGACTGATTTAGTGTTGTAGCCATATGTACAGACAGTTGAGATTATAAGAAATTATTTTCTGTGAAAGCAAGCTTTATGAATGTTAGTATGAGTCATCTGTAATAATGCAATCTACTTTAAAAAGTGTAAGATTTAACAGCATGATTCCTGGAAGCTTCAATTAGGAAAGCAGTACATTACCATTAGTTCATTAATTTCTTAACAGCAACATGGCAACAGAAGCTGAAATATCATGTGGAATGAGAAAACAAAAGCACAACTTACTTTTCATTCCTACTTTTGATGCATGGCTGGTAGAGGACCTTGACGGCATTCAAGGCAGAACTGGAGTCCACTTTCAAAGTATCTTCCAATAAAGGGAACTTTCTGATACACTCAGAACTCCTCAAAGATTCAATCACCAAACTATCTGAGTTTAAAAGCCAGAGCTGAAAGTATGGAAAGAAAACTCTATGTAGGGAGATACTGCTACTGTGTATTTCATACAACTACTCAAAAAAAAAAAAAAAAAGAAACAGAGGAAATAATGGAGAATCATGTATATAATATATAAGTAGGACAGGCTTTTCAAAACATAACAATTGGCAGAACAACCAACATCATAAAGTAAATCGGAAAAAAAAAACTGATCAAAAGTAAACACTTAATATATAAATAACATTATTATCTCTAATAGGCAGAGTTGCTAAAAATCAGTAAGAAGCAAACATACCCCAATAAAAAAAACAGGCAAAAAATAGTCATGGCGTTACCCAGAAATGTGATAAAAGGAAATGTAAAATTTCTATGCCACCATTTTTTCACTTATTTAGAAAATGTAAACAGATTGATAACAACCAGCTCAGAATGGGTTTGGAATAAGCATTTCAATACACTGCTGTTGGAAGAGAGTTTTGGGATTCAGATGCATTGTAGTTCACTGAAAAAAATCCTGAGGTAAAGGAAGTGAGGAAAATGTGATAGCTCAGGGAAAAAAGCCAGTTGATGATGCAAGCCAAGCTGGAGCCTGCTTCAAGCTGATCCCTCAGGTGCTCTAGAGCTTGAGCTGCACCTGCAGACCTTGTCCCACCTTGAGGCAAGAGGCTTCAGCTTTTTGTACCCCAGATGTAAACCATGGCAGTAAGCTGACCATGGCAGTGGGTGGGGCAGTGAGGATAGGAAAACTTTTTGGGCAAGGTAACAACTGTCATTCAAGGACAAGTTTCTGGAAAAGGGGTCAACGGAGGGCCAGCAGCTGGGAATGAATGCACCAACCCAGTCAAGAGGATCTGAATGGGGCATCAAGAAAGTCCACTATGAGATAAATTAGTACAACTTTTTGCAAGCTGATAGTTATCCAAATTTAAAATACACAAATTTTAATATTGTATTAGATTAGAAGTACCATTTCTAAAGAAGTACTAAAATATATGAAGTGAAGATTATTTTCTTGTATCATTGTCTTTAACAGCCATACAGCGGAAATCTAGTCATTAAAGAGTCAAACTTACATTTACACTAAAAAGAAACAGTTGTGATCATCTATTGTTAGGTGAAGAGAGCATGCTGTAAAAAATGTGCTAATCATCTATTACTTTTTAAAATTAAAAGACAAACAGCTGTGAGTTTACACATGTGTAGTTATACATGGATAGGAAACAATGTTGGAAATACTACAACCTTTGGAAAGCATCGTATACCAGGGCTGAGGAGGGAACAAGACGAAGAAACTAGTACTTCTTTATGTTCCTCATTGTTTGGATATAATTCAAGAATGTATTACTCATATTTTAAGAAATTAATTTTAAATATATACATTTTAAAGTTTTAAAATGTTTCCACTCCTGATTTTTAACTTGAAAAATCTTGCATAAAAGAAAACTAAAACTGATTTCAGACTGAGACTATGAGATTGATTTAGTATCAACTTCAGTCAGCAAATATTTTAGCTCCTCCCAGTTGTTCTCAGGAGTGAGAAGCCTGGGGTCTCCATAATAGATTGCAGCTATGAAGCTACACCCCAGGTCTTCTCTCCTCTTTGCTACAATATTTCTCTATTATCTTGTGAGCTCTTTAAGCACCTACATAAGAGCCTTCAAAATAAGAAATGCTCACTACATGTTAATTGGTTGAAGAAAACACATGTGCAGGCAGCAAAGAGACTTTGGGCTATGATTCTTGGGTTTCCAGATAAATGGCCGAATTCCATTTTGCAGACCATTTTTAAGAGGGGTAGGATAATAGACTTTTGTGGTACATTTAGAGGATGATTCTACTAACCACAGAGCCTCTTCTCTCTTCTATTGCTGCTATGTCTCAAACACCAAGATGTCAGAAGCAATTAAAAACAGAAGCAATAACATATTTTAAAGTTAAGGTTATTAAATAGGAAGAAAAACACTGACAGAATGGTGTTGTACTAACCAAGAAAAGTCATTAAAAACTAATAGTGAAATGCCTTATTCTGTGGTATGATCAACTTTTTGTTTTTTTTTGAGACAGGGTCTTGCTATATAGCCCAGGTTGGCCTCAATCTTTCAATGCTTCTGCTTCCACCTCCCAAGTGTTGGGACTATTGGTCTGCACCGGGTATAATCTTCTAATGGACAGGAATTGGGTTTTCTTTTCCTCTGCATCCCTAAATCTTGTACATTAAGGCACTTGATCTTTGCTATTAAATTAAGGGAGTTTGATTTATGCATTAAATTGATATTAAAAGTTCAGTTGGTGATCATTTAGTTTCTAGACTTGAGAAGTAAGAAAAAAGTAGCAAAAAGTAAAGAATTTGAGACCTGAGATTATTGGGCTACAAATAACTTCTTACCAAGATGTACACTTTGCCGTCCTGCCCTTGAATAGTGAATCTAAAAGTGCTTCTAGTAGAGGAGAGTTCCACCAGGCACTGGGCAGTAACACTCTGGACAAACTGAGACCTGTTTCAACAGAAAGCAATGTTCACTATATGCCTCATAATAATTCTAACTAGCGAGATAAGCCAAAAACACTCACAGGGATTATGAAGCAGGGACATGAGCAAGCCAGACTTCTCCATCCACCTCCATTCCCTCACAGTCTTCGCAAATGTGGACTTTAGAAATTTTAATGTATTTGTGTCATCCCATTCTTCTTAAAATCTATTCTCCAATCATTAATAACATTTTGCAACCCAAAACTAACTATTTCCCATACTGAATTAAAGCGTATCATGTTAGGACAGGTCAATATTCCATTTGTGCTGAAGCACATTCAACAGTGAATAAGTTACAAAAGAAGTTGAGAAATTTCCTCCCAAACATACAATATTATCTACAATTTTTTTCCATTTAGATCTCCTTAAAGTGAAAGCATTTGCAGGTGGATAAAATTCAAGTTTATGTTCATGTTGCCATAATTATAATATCAATAAACTAAAATGAAGAAATATAAGTGAACTTTTATTTGCAAACTAAAAAGGTTAAAAGTAACACTACTATATTTAAAGCCTAAATACTCTGTTTTATAAATATACTAGTCATTTGAAAATACCTTTTGTTTTAAATTTTAAGCAGGTCAAATTAAAACCAGAAATAATTTGTCAAAATTATTGATGATTAAGTCATAAATTTTGGATATCTGGCAAATAGGACAAAAACCTTCAAAAGTAGAAGACTTATATAAACACATTTGTCTAACATATTATATAAGCAAAACATAAAGAGATAAATCCTAAAGGTGTTTCTAAGTATGGTTTGGTTTAACTAACAACCTTTCCCAAAGGAGTTTTTTAAACCTTTCTAAAGAGTTATGAATAAAACTGACACCTCCAATCAATTGTACTTACTTTTCTCACATTTGAAATTACAAAATAAACTTAATTGGTATTTGTACCTTGGTATGAAGGGAAAACTTCTATCGGACGCCTGAATAATTATCTCTGTCATATAAAATTTAGTGGTTTCTAGAAATAAGAAACAAAAAGAAAATTAAAAATGTTCCCAATATACTAATAATTTTATTATGTACAGGTTGGCCCCAAACTATGACATTCTGAGTTATTTTAGTTTAGCAGATATTCAACGTACTGATGAAATTAACATTCAGTAAACATTTTCCAAAAACTACTTAGTTTCAAAGAAAAAGCATGATAACTACAAGGCTCCAAATAGCACAGGGTCTGTTTAGAAAATCATACCCAAAGTGACTCTGTAGTGCAAGGCTCTGCTCACAGACAGTCTCTCTTCACAGCCTTTGCCCATGTATGTAGAAATTAGGCATGGGGCTTCCTCATTTTTTCTACAGATTAGCCACAACCCTGGGAGTAACTGAGGAAGGCTTTTTAGTCACAGTATCCCAAAACCCATGCACAAAAGCTGTAACCCTGATATTATTACTTGTAATCTCACTGACTGCACAATTCTCACCAATCTGGTTTTCTGATTACTTAGTGTATATAAAAATTTAAACAGACTAGCTATTTAATAGACATCAATGTTAACACACTATGTCAGATTATTTAAAAATTCTTTTAAAATGTGTAATCTCATTACTAACAAAGAAAATGCAAATCAAAATGAGATTTTTTTTTTTTTTTTTTGCCACTCCACTAGCCCTTTTTGGTGTTGGGGTGATTTCCAGCTAAGGTTTCTTAAACTATTTGCCCAGGATGGCTTTGAACCACAATCCTCCTGATCTCTGCCTCCTGAGTAGCTAGGATTACAGGCATGAGCCACAGGTACCCAGTACAAAATGAGGTTTTTATTAGTATCAAACAAAACAGTTTTAAATGATAAAGTGTAGCACTGGACATGCTTATGAAAAAATGGATAGGCTTATTCACATATTGCTATCAGAATAAAAATTATAGATTTCTAGAAAGCTACTTGACAAAGCCTTAAAATTGTGTATATACTTTGACACCATAATTAAGTACTGAAGAATTTAGCTCAAAGAAATACTCATAAAACATGCACAAAATTATCAATAAAGATGCTCATAACATTAATAGAAAAATACTGAAAATATATTAACACTTAAAGATGGCTTAAGTAATAATATATTTAGGAAACAGAACTCCATAATGTTTTAAATTTTAAATAGGTCAGATTAAAACCAGAAGTAGTTAAAAATGGTATTTCCTAAAAGCAATGATGTCAAATAACTATTAATAAGACAGGAAGTTTTTCTGATTTTTTTAAGTTTTAATTGCTCAATATGATACACAAAAAGGATAAAAATAAAATCAATAAAAAGTTTAATAGGTTATTATGTAGAGACTCGATGATTTCTTCAAGTTCTGTCAATTTTTACAACTTTGAAATCCCACTGCCATATGCAGAAGTGAACCTTGTAACATTACAAAGTGACCCCTTTGATGCCAGATGCTCTTAAAAATTCCATGACTTTAATCTCACAGACACTGTTGTGGTTTTATACACTTAATACTCATTAGCTGTCATCTACATCTTATTACAACTTTCTGTATCAATCTTTCTTAAACCTTCTGAGGTCATTTACTTCCACCTGAATAGAAGCTGAATTTCTCTTAAGAAACCACTAGTGGTGAGTTATCCCAGCTTTTGTTTGTCAGAAAATATATGTGCCTTTGCCTCCTTTGTGGAAGGACACTTTCAGTTGGTATAAAGTACTAGGGTTAACAGTTATTTCTTTGTGTACAATGACAATATCATTCTACTGTTTTCACATTTCCATTACTGCTGCTCCTTTGAAGGTGATCTGTCATTTTTCCTTGGTTGCTTTTAAGATTTTCTTTTTGCTTTTCATTCTGCAGTTTTGCTTTGATGTGTCTAGGTATAGCTCTCTTTTTATTTATCTTACTTGGGCCTCATTGAATTGGAATTCGTTGTGCCTCTTGAATCTGTAGATTGTTGTTCTTCGTTGCTTCGGTAAAATTTTCAGAAACTATCTGTTCAAATATTGCCCATGCTTCATTCTTTTCCTATTCTCTTTATGGAAGAGTGATTAAACATACATCAAATTATCTCACTGTATCATCTATGTTTTTACTCTATATTTTTCGCTTTTTGCACTGAGTTAAAGTTTTTCTTCTCATCTTTCTTCTGTTTATTAATTTTTTTCAAGTTGTACCCCATCTACTATTAAACTCCCCCTCTGGATTTTTAAGTTCAACTATACTAGTCTTTTAGAAATTCCATTATAGATCTTTTCCAAATACACTGTTACAGTTTCTTTTTTCCTTCAGTTCTCTTTAAATCTGTCTTTTACATCATTAAGTATACTAAGCAAGGTTGTTTTACATTTACATATGATAATTCTAGTAAGAAGTCTGTTTCTACTGCTTACTCTCTGTTATTTCTTGCTGATGAAAGTTGTGAGGGTATGAATATGAAATGTCCCCTACAGGCTCATTATTGAAGGGTTGGTGCCCAACTGGTGGAGCTATTTGGATAGGTTCTGGAAACTTTACAAGTAGGGACTAGATGTAGGAAACAGGTGGTAGGCCTTTGGGGAATGTATCCTGTCCCCCTAAAACAGATGGTAGGGAAGGAAACACCTCTCCCCGGGGCACTGTGCAGAAGTTAAGCACTGTTAGAACACTGTTAAATACTGTGACACACTGTTAGTGATAAGCCTTTATTGCAAGCACCCACTAGCTATTATTTATTTTTTCTTTAAATGTGCTGAGATTTGGGGGATGGGGGGACATAACTCTGGGGGGATTGACAGCTAGCAGACCATTCCTTTTGTTCCATTCAGCCCTTTAGTGGACTATTAGTTAAGCAGCCAGAATGACTGCCCTTAGGCCAGCCCATGCTGCTTTGAACATGCCACAGACATATTGATGAAGCTGTACAAAAACCACAGCTGCTTGCTGCTGAAGCACAACTCCAGCTACTGAAACACTGTCTCGGCAGACTTTTTGTTATAAGCCTCAATGAACTCTAGACAAACTTACATCCATTTCTACCCAGGTCAGAGGGGGAGCACTTCCCCTGGTGGCCCAGCAAAGGCCTGTGACTGGCACAAACACAATCCTTCATTTGTTGCCATTATTGGAGCAGACACCCTTGTCACACTCCATTTCTGGGGATATAAGCAGGTTATTTGACTCACTTGCTGAGCAGCCAGGAGACACCCTTTTATGCCACCCCAAACCTATCCTACCCTGTGTTGCAAAAGCAGGTCGGTCCAGTAAAGACTTCTCTCCAGTGGTCTTCCTTGCATACTTTTGATTCTCATAATTAGAACAGTGGCTGAGCTGGCATGGCAAAGAAAAGAGGCAGCATTGAGGGGCAGGCCAACCCCACACAAATGCAGTGGCAGGCAGCTGGAGTTGTCACAGCAAAAGTGGCACAGGAGCTAACAAGTAGCTTTCATGACAGCAAGTGATTGTCAGCAGGAGGCTGTAATGTCCCAAAGTAGTGGTTGTGGCAGCAGGTGCAAGGTGACTAGTGCTGCTCTGGGAGTAAAACTAAATCAGCAGCAAATTAGGGCCTCCTGCATTGACAAGGACATGGACCTCTAACCAGGGCTGCTGAAGCACTGGTAGCAGGGTGGATGGAGACATCCTGGAAGTGAAACAAATTCAGTGGCCAATTGGGGCAAGCACCCTCACAAGTGAAGCTGATATCACTGGAGTTGGTCGGAGCATTGACGGTGGAAACAGAAGACATTTGCCACCACAGCTAATAAACACCCTGGGACACAAACCCAGAGCAGCAGAGCTGTGACACTTAACTTCCACCAAGACCTGTCGAAGTGATTTGCACAGCCCTGAGGTGCAGAAGCCAGACTTGCTGTCCCAGCTGCCAAAGTACTTCAGCCCAAGGCTGGAAGCATGGAAGCTGCGAAGCTAGAGGGCATCACCTGCCAACTTCCCACTGTCATCTGCTGCCACTGCTTACAAAAACCTACCAAGGGCCTGAAATAACTGGAGGAGCTTTTTGCCTACATGATCTATATCTGGGTAGAGCACAAGGACCCCAGCCAGCTAGTTTGTGACATCAAACTGCCTCTTGTCCTCCATGAGGAGAGTGGCCGCTACTGCATACTCCTGCTGCCATGATGTTTTGTCTCACCACAAGCCCAGAATCAACAGTCAAGGACTATGGACGGAGTCCTCTGAAATAAACAATGCCTCCTGTAAGATATTCTCTCAGGTATTTTGGTTATAGCTATGGATCACTAAATAACTCAGAAGTCTAGTTAACATTAGCCTATTTATCTTTGGTTATATGCTGAACATTGTACTTGAAAAATTACTTGTGGTAACAATATGAATTTTACAATAAAGTATTTCCCTCCAGAGGTGATCTTCATTTGATTTTGCAAGGCACCTAGTATTGTGTCTAGAGTCTAAGGCAGAGAGCACCAAGTTCCAGACTTGAAATTCCTTATAATCCCTAGGATTTATATTTATAGTTCCACTGGCTCTTCCACTTCTGATTCACCTTACTGTATGGGTATGGTCTTTAGGATATCATGTTTTTGTGAACAGTCACTTATTAGCTTTCCCATTTTATATACCCTTTCACTTCTGTCCTGCTGTTCAAAGCAACCACAGCAAAAGTCCTAATTTTAAAGAACTGGCAAATTGCAGGGAAAAACGTGCCTTGAATTTTGTGTTTTCCTATTTTGAGTTCATTGTGTGGTAATTTAACCATATATTTCTCATTCCCCTACTGTCTACTCCTTCCTTTCATTTTAGTTACCTCAGGCATCTTTCACTTCAGACTAAAATTTTTCCATTAGGATTTTTTAGGATTTCCATTTGGATTTTTCTTTGGGTTGACTCATTTGTATTAATAAATACAGTATTTAAAAAATTCTGTCATCTCAAATCTGTTGTTTAGATCATCTAGTGATTTTTCTTTTCAGTTATAATACTTTTCAATTCTAAAATTAACTATTTGTTCTTTCATTGAAGTTTACAATTTGTTCAGACTTCATTTATTCAGATTTTTCTTTTAATTCATTACCATATTTCCAATGGCTATGTCACCATATTTGTCTGCTAAATCCATTATTTGTACTTACTTAGCACCTGTTTATTGAGTCCTATTTTTCTTGTGTAAAAATCATTCCTTTTTTGAATGTCTAATAATTTTTGGACAGAAGCAGAGCATTATGTTTAATACACTGTAGCAACTCTGGATTTTGTTTTATTCTTGTAAGGGCTGTTGGTTTATTGATAGAGTAGTCAATTAACTAGCCTGGACTTATGCTATGAAATATGTCTCCCCATAGTGTATAGCCATGAATGTCTCTGTTCAGTTTTATTTTGTTCATTCTGGCTCCCCAAAGAGTATCCACTCTATCTGCACAGATTAGCTGCTGGCAAAGTATTTGGGGAGAGGTTCTGCTCAAATACCTCAAGCTAGTAAGGTTTTTTACAAAAATTACATCTGCCTCTGCCTAAGTTGTTTTCGGACTAATAAGTGTAATCAAAGGCACAGTAATTTGACATACCTTCCTAAGATTTCAATTCTTACTGAAAATACATACAACAGATACTACCTGACAACTTATGTGTATATGTAGAGTTTAGCAGTAAGCCAGAGTTATGTGAAGAAGTTATGTTACCCCTTCTATGGCCTTTTCCTTAAAAAATATCCTCTTTACATTTTACTTTGTCTGCCACCTATCCTGAACTAAACCCAGCATCCATAGACAGTAAAGTTGGGGATTTCCCAGCTCAAGTTGGGGAGACAGAAAGGAAGATGGGCCCCCTCTCCAGGCAAAAAGGTTCTAAACTTGCCATTCTTTCCCTATGTATGCACTATTATTTTTTCCTGACTAAACACCTCTCAAATTACTGCTTCATTTTGTTCATTTTCCAGTGCCTAATATGATACTTAACTTTTACCTCATCCAGTTTTGCCCTTGCTTTTTGTGGAATGGAACTGTCCATGTTCTTAGTGCCACTAATTTTGAAAGCTGTGTCCCACAGATTCACTTTTCAAGTAGATATGGATTAAACTCTCGCATACCACCCTATATGACATTCACATATACTGACACCTTAATATACTACGTATTACATCATATTTGGTTAAATGAATTATGACCATAATGATACCATGCAGATGCTTCTTTTCCTATTCAACTATACACAATTTGTCCTGCAATGAATAACTGCTTTCTTTTTCCATTTAATTTTCTAAGAACCTTTAGCTAATTCTTCCTATAGAATGAAATGGCTTGTCTCAACATTATTTTATTAAACATGGACAAACCAAAGAATTCACAGTTCTATGTTATAACAGAAAAATCTTTACTGCAATCTCTCCTCTCCTTGCTTCAATCCAGGCTGTTATTCTTTAGGTCAAGTGCACATCTCTCAGCCTGGGCCTTCCTTACCTTGCTCTCCTGTGTTGTAAGGCCTGTTTCCCCAACCCTACGTCATCTCTTTCTAGGGGTTAATTCCCTAGCTTTGGTAATATGCATCCTGTGATAGATTCCTAAGGAAAATATACCTTTAAGGTCTATGTTTTGAAGTGTTATTTCTACAAATGCATTTATTATCTTCATATAGGACTGATGGTTTGACTTGTGTATAGAATTCTTGAGTGGAACTTTTCCTTCCAAATTCTGAAGGGATTACTTTATTATCTTCTGAAAGCATTCTGTTCTACTATTAAGAAGTGCAATGGTAGGGGGTTGTGGATATAGCTCGATGGCAAAGCATTTACCGAGCATGTGAAAGTCTCAGGGTTTGATGCCCAGTACAGCAGTTAATTAAGTAATTAATTCAGTGTCATTTGTTATTCTAACCCCTAATCCATTGTTTTTCCCCGCTCTGGAAACTTCATCCTCAGTGCTATGAAAATATTCAAGGATATTGCCTCTCTTTAATTCCTCTATTAATTATACTGGGCACTTATGAGTCCTTTCAGTGGAGAAACTGGAATCTTGGCTCTGGAAAATAGTTTTGGGATGTGTCTTTGTCATTTTTGTTTTTTAATAATCTCCTACATCCTGTTGTCTCAGTCTCCCCTTCCAGAATTCCTATTTGCTACATGTTGGATTACCAAAGGCTCAATTCATTCATTCATTCAGCAAATATTTATGGGATACTCACTGTGTACCAGATATTAGTGTAAGGGCTGAGATTACAAGGATGAGATGAATAATGCCCTTATCCTCAGGAAACTTGCCTGGTATTTTCTTTTCTATATTCAGTCTCTTTCTTTTGGCTGATTTCTGGGATACTTTCTTAATTTTATCTTCCAGTTCTCTCATTTTTTTAAGCTATTACATTTGAATTCTGTGTTCTCTGAATGATGGAACAATATTATTTCATGTCTCCAAGGGCATTTTTTTTGTGTGTTTTTTACAGGCTTTCTTCTACTGTGTATATAATTTGTTTCTTCTTAGTGTTTTTAATTGGCTTGATTGATTGATCATTAATTTGGCTTGCTCTTGCTCTCTTTCTCTTTACCTCTCTAGATGGGGACTTGCATGCAGTCCCCATCTAGCATCAAATTTGGAATCCTCCTTCCTCTGCCTCCCCAAGTGTTGGGATTATAGCCATGCATCAACATGCCCAGCTTGCCTTGGTCTCTTGTGTACCTGGAGACTACCCCAAATATTTGGTGATTCTCAGCAATCCATTCATATTTAAATGTCAGGCCATAAAATATTAAGAGGAAGTTCTTGAGTATAGGTATAAAGCTTACTGGCTGCAGCTTATACTCAGTTGAATATAGGCTCATTTTTGTTGAACAACTAGCTAAGCTCATTTTTGTTAAATGACCTCCAAGAATTAATGCTGGAATTCATTTCTACTGTTGGTACTCTTCTATTATTTCAAAAAAGAGTCCTCTAATCTCTTACTTTGAGGATTAAAAGAGTAAGTTGAGCATGGAGGGAGGAGACTGAGGAGTCTCATAGCTCCTGCTTATAGCGCCCAGCCTCAGATTGCCTTCCCTGTTACCTGCTGCCTCCAAATTCTGAGCTGTTCTGGGGTTCAACAGTGCATACAGGCTCACTCGTCATATAAGTGGCCCTCTGCAGACATCGAGGCTACAGCTTCCCCCACACTGCCAAAGTGTGTCCAGAAAAGTCTGCTTACATCTCCTGCTTAAGACACTGTCATCTCCTCTTTATTTCTCTTTCTCTTTGTGGATATACATCTTTTTAATTCAATAACTGACATTTTAACTGCAGCTCAGGGAGGAGACAAAAGAACTTAAAAAATCAATTCACCTCTTTAACAGATAGCCTTAATTTCTTTAAGGTGTTGTTTACAGGGCTTGTTTTCATTCTCTAAAAATGATATTAAGAATAGCATCCTTTACTACTACTCATTCTTCCTTTTCAGCTTACTCAGAGCAATTAACTACCTGTAGGATTCTGATGATTTTAAAAATAAAGAAATACCACCATCTGCCTTCCCTTAAGTATGTAGTATCATTTAAATTATATTTTCTAATTAATTATGTGAAAGATTATTTATCACCCTCAAAGCTAATATAGTGTTGTAGCTCTGTAGATATATTTAACTGTATCTTTAAACAGCATTTTAATTATTGAGACTTATTATTATATTTTAAAGTAGGATAACATACAGTTTACAGAAAACATTATTAATACCACTGGGAAAAGAGTAATAAACAGTACAAAACTCAGCATTTTTTTTTTTTCATTTCAACAAGTCCTCTTCAACTACAGCCCCAAAATACAGCCCTGAGGCAGATGGCAGCCAAGAAAAGAAGCTTCTCCATCTCTGGGCACCAACTCTTTTGATCAAAGATTTGTTTTAAGAAAAAGACTCCAATATTCTTAAAGATAGACCTAAGTATAAACCTTGCACTATTGCTTTATACTACAAAGACAATGTAAAAATGACTCAACTTCTCACTTTTTAAAACTCAATACAATGCACTTATAAAGGTCAAAAATACACAAACTTCTTGGAATATTGGGTGATATGCTAATTGGCTTCTATTTTCAAAAGCATCAATTCTACAAAATATACTAATCTTCCATCATTCCTATATATTTATCATTAAATCTCATTCTGGCTTTCAAATAAGAGGCAATCACGTTGGCTTTTGTTATGAAATTCTTACCTGATGACATGGTTTCTCCCAACATTACCTTGCAACGCTTACAAATTACTTTGGTATTTGCTTTTGGTTCCTGTAGAACAGAAAAATGTCATTTAAATGTCATTCAGCTTTTCTTAAAAGGAATATATAATTTTAACATAGTCTCCAGAGTATACATTGAACTTTACATTTTATTGTGCCCTCTACTAAATACTGGGAATACATTTAGCTTGCATGCATAATTCACATGCACAGAAATAATTTTTTCTTGTCTTAAGACAGAATAATGCAAAAATTGACTTTTCCAAACCTAGTCACTTCTTAATAATCCAAATGTTGCCTAATAATTTGAACAAGAAACATTTTACATTTCTAAAAAAGCACTTCTGAATAGCCTTATTATTTAGGACAGGCAGATGGTGGGCAATACAGGCAAAGAAGGCTGATGACTTGTACCAACTCATGTGTCTAGAATAAAGAAGAATAAGAACTTAAACTCATTATTTTGATTCCTAGTCCAGTGTAATTTATGCAAAAGTAACCTATAACTCATAGCTACATAATTCAGAAGTTAAAAATATCTAACATGTTCATATAATTCTATTTTTTCCATTTAAGATATGCACTGTAACTGGAAATACGGATAGTGTTGTAAGAAAAATTCCTAAAACATTCTTAGACTTCAAAACTTCAAAAATGCTCAAAGTTCAAAAATGTAAACTCAGTATGTAGGTTGCAGATTAAAATAACTAGCATTTGCCTAATCACTGAAACAAAGAATGATTTTTTTTCACATCCATGGTAATATATTTGTTAAAGCCATGTAACATGCCATAAAAAAGCTGGCAGTTCTATCAGCAATCAGGAGGATCACAGTTCCAGGCCAGTCCAGGCTAAAAGTTTGCAAGACCCAATTTCAACCAATAAAATCATGCACCTGTCATCTCACCCATGCAGGAAAATAGGAGGATAGGGGTTCAGAGAGGCCCAGGCATAAATGCAAGACCCTTAAAAAAATAACTAAAGCCAAAAGGGCTGGGGGCATGGCTAAGTGGCAGAGCACCTACCCTGCAAGCATAAGACCCTGAGTTCAAACCCCAGTACCACCAATAGGGGGAAAAACAAAAAAACAAACAAAAAAACCACCCATCAAAGTAGGCAGGGAAAAGGAGGTTCTACAATTCTGGACACTTCAGGTTACTTCTATTGGGAATCCATAGAACAGGATGAAGTAAGGAAGACAGTGACTTCCTGACATGGGATAACAAATGCACCCATCTAGAGAATAAGTCTTAACTGACAGCATCCATAACTATTTCCTGAGAGGTTGCATAAGAAGCCAACTGACTTCCACAGACGAGCTGCTAGGAACTGAGAGAACCGATGTTTGCAGCCAGGTCCTCAAATACTTCAGCTTGTGCTTTTAAGCATGACATGAGGTGTTTTCCAAACTACAGGTCCCATTAACAAGTGGGAATCAATTCATAGAATTCAGTGGGTTATGGTCTACATTTAAAAAAACAAAATAGAATAAAAATTTTGACCGCTTCAAACATAAGGTAGGTACTGCTTCAAGAAACTCTTATTTATGGGCTTGTGTGTGTGTGTGTGTGTGTGTGATCAGCTCTTAATGTATGAAATCCATTTCTTATTTTAGTTAAAGATCAAACAGTCAAGAGCAGTTCCACAACTTACACTGGGGTCTTTTTCTATGACTCCCTCTTTTACACAGCTTCAAAACCACACTATTAGTAAAAGCCCATAAATGCCTCAGTAGATCCCTGGCATATGAAGGGCTAAGATGAGTCCGTTTGAAAAAAACCTTCAGTAATACAAAAACTTACCTTATTTTTCCCTAGTGAAGCGTCTGAATTCATACAGATTATCCAAGCTTTCTCTAAAAATTTCTGCTGAGGAAACAAATAGGAGCTCCCTAAGTCTGCTCGCACCTGGCCCAAATGCTTATGCAGGCACACTCACCATGTGAGGCCCACAGATTGAACCATCGCTAGTCACTGAACCGATACCCTTGCATTCAGCATACCACAGAGCCTGGCCAAGGGGGGTGACTGGACAGGTCATTCCCATCACAGGTAGTAGACATACAAACCAAGAAAGGTGCCCATTTGTTCAAGCACAGGAAGAAGAGAGCCCAGGAAGTCTGTGTGTTCACAACAAAAGGCTGACCTGGCAACTGCATGCTTTCTTACAGCAAAACATATTTACTCATCCTCAACTTGGTATTAAAAATATTTTTTAAAGGAAGCTGGGCACAGTGGCTCAACTCTGGAATCCTAGGTACTTGGAAGGCAAAAATTTGGAGGATCACTGTTGAAGGCCAGCCCAAGCAAAAAAGTCCATGAGACCCTATCTCAGCCAGTGCCTAGGTGTGGTGGTGCAAGCCTGTCATCCCAGCTATGCAGGGAAGCACAAACAGGAGGACTGCAGTTCAGGCCACCCTAGATAGCTATAAAGCCAAGACACTGTCTCAAAAATAACCAGAGCAAAAAAGGATGGCAGAATGGCTGAAGGAGTAGAGTGCTTGCCTAGCAAGCGTGAGGCCCTGCATTCAATCCCCAGTACTACCAATAAACAAACAAACAAATAAATAAATAAATGCATACTTTTTAAAGGATACTATTTTGTATGGGCTCAATTTGACCACACATTAAATCTTACCAAAAGGTAAGGGTTTTATTAAAAGCTAAGCGAGGTGTTGGAATAGCAAAGCTTGAGAAGAAAAGATTTTTCTATTTGAAGCAGAGTATCTTGTTAGGTGCTCTGTTATGTACTTCATTTATAATTGTTCTCACAGAGCGTTTCACTTTGTCTTTCTAGGAAGCAGGAAAAGGGTTTTGTTTTTAAAAATAGGATTCTATCCTTACCAGACACAGGCAATCAGAATTTTAAAATGTTATCAATAAGACATTATCTCCAACAACCAAATTTGTAGATCTTGATTCAAACAAGCACAATAAAAGATATTTGAAAGACAATTAGCAAAACTTGAATGTAGCCTGATATTATGTCATTATTATTGTTTGGACACTGACAGTGTGCTTATGAAAAAAATCCCTACTTTTAGATATTCATACTGAAACATAGGGATGAAATGACATAATACTGAGATTTGCTTTTTTTTTTGTTACTTTTGTTGTCTTCTGGTGGTACTTGGGTTTGAACTCAGGGCTTCATATTTGCTAGGTGGATGCTCTAGTATTTGAGCCATGCATGCTCCTCCCCCTTTTTGTTCTGGTTATTTGGAGATAGTGTCTTGTTTTTTGCACAGGTCACCTGGATCACAATCCTCCTATTTTACATTTCTGGCTGTCACTGAGATTACAGGCATAGCCACAACACCCAGCTTTTTTCCTGTTGAGATGGGGATCTCACTTACTTTTTGCCCAGGCTGACAAATTACTAATATCAATTACTAAGTATCCCAAGAAATAATATTTAAAAAAAAAAAAGATAAAGGTGGCACTGGCCCTACTTTCCAGGAATAATATGTTTTTTAAAAACAGAATGAAGTTATAAAGGTGGCTATGCTTTCTAAGTCTTTGTTCTTTCTTTGTTTCTTTTTATTTATTTTTGGTAGAAATGAAGTTTTGCTATGTTGCCCAGGCTGGCCTTGAGCTCTGATACTCAAGCAATACTGCTTCAACTGCTCCAGTGTAGCTGGGAAAACAGAAACAAGCCTAGCACTTTTTAAGTCTTGAATAATATTTTTATCATCTTATTATTAAATGAAAAAATATTACTATGTTTGTAGGCATAAAAACTAGTACAAGAGATGATGAATGATAAGAATAGGAGAATCTTCAGCAGACATCTTTTAAAAATAAAAAGTACATAATGCCACCTTGATGGAGGTACAAATAAAATACTGTGAATTCCAAGAGGGTATTGAAGGAATGAAATAGTGCCCAGTTGTATGTTTGGACTGCTTTTAAAATCAGATCTTTTTAATTAAAATACTCTAGCATGTTAATTTTGCTTAAAAAGAACTCTGCTTTGCAATGCATTTTTCTTGACTCTGTTTCAAGGAAATAATAAGGCGAGTTGTACAATAAAACAGCCCAACAGTGTGGGAACTCTACTGAGCAAGCCTCAAAGAAAGACATTGTTGGGGACTAATTAAATCAATATATCTAAGAGATGGCAGTGCTGCTCACAGAGGTGGATTAGACTCTTGTCCTGGTTTTTATTTTCCTTTATGTTGTTTCAATTTCTAAGGACCCTTGATATTGTCTCACCAAAAAGAAAAAAAAATGTTTCCCAGGAGATACCATTAGGATGCGGTGTCACCATGTGACATTTCAAAACCCCGCTGGATGACTAGACTGGGTGATATGAGAAATAGGTTTTCAATAGCACAGAGCAGCCTTGTTCCCACTGGAGCCTCCAAAGCAGTGTTTAAGCAGTCTCTCCAAATTTATGTTACTATTTTGGTCACAGGCATACTCTTTCAACTGCTACAATATGCAATTAAAGTGAGACTTCCATCCAGACCAACTTGAAAACAATCTTGTCAACAGTAGCTTGTCATTATAGCCATTTCCCACAGTCTCCTTGATACTAAAAACTATAATGTCTAAATAGAAAGGATCGTACTTTAATTTATAAAAATCACTGTTTACAATGAAGACAAATTCTTGAAAATGGCATCCTATACCTGACAAAGATGTAAATGTGAAGAATGTATTTCAGCAAAGAGTTTATCTAAAAAGGGAAATGTGACTTCTCTTATTTAATCTTTATCATTTTTCCACTCACAACTTCCAAGTATTTTTAAAATCTACAGCTTAATTATAAAAATGAAAAAGATAAAATATTCAGTATTACTGTAACATAAATCTATATGAACTTCACACCATTTAACTTTCAAAAATACAAAATGCTGAAGTACTACAACTTAAAGTGAGTCATACTTAGATTAAAGGATTTCTTTTGATAGTGAGCGATGAGGCACACACTTTTAATTGACAACAACTTAATCTGGCTAGTTGACAAATTTTCTTAATCTCCTTCAAGATGGTTCTATAAACTAATTTACAAACTGAGAGCTAGCCAGGTGCTGCACATTTCTGGCAGTAGTCAAATCTTACTACAAAAATTAAATGAGTTCTAAATGAAACTTAAAATACAATGTTTCTCTTTCTACCAATAAGCATATGCTAAATGAAGATTCTCCAGGGATGCTTTTCTTTCCTTTTTAAACCACATCTGTATTGACTGGCTATCTGGGGGATATTCCTCAAGGGCCAAACCAATGCCATTGACTGCCTTTTAAAATAAAGTAGAAGTAAACCCCTCGCTTTCTGCAGAGAAAGGGAGCTGCCTTCTCCCTACAGCAACGTATGCAGTAAGGTCACTGACTTAGACCTGCAACTGTGAGCTTCATTTCCATTCCTTTTTCCATTTCCCTTGAAGGCATCTACAACATCAGCAGAAGTTAGACTTCAGACAGACATGGTAAAATACCTCATCCAAATTGTACCATGGACATCCTAAAGTAGGAGAACACTCTTACTTTTACTCAGACTTTTGAGGTTAAAATGCACACAGATTACGGAATATTGCCTTAAAAAAGTAAGCAGGGCATTTGGTTTGTAAAATTCTTTTTATTTTCTTTCTTTCTTGTGTAGGTTGTGTGTGTGTGTGTATATCTGTGCAGAACTCAGGACCTTGCTCTTGCTAGGCAGGAGCTCTACCATCTGAGCCACTGTAACAGCCCTTTTTGCATTGGTTATTTTTGAGATAGAGTCTCACTTTACGCCCTCCCTGGCCTGGACTACCATCCTCCTATTTGTGATTTCCCACATCACTGCATGAAGTAGTCCTCTTCTTATTCCTCCAGTCCCTGCTGCCTGTTTTAGCTAAGGCTCTTCCTGCATCAATTCAGCTAGAGATCAGAAGCAGTTGAAAATAATAGATTTGGCCTTTAGAATAGTCTCTTTGATGAACTCTGAATTAAAAAAAGAATGGGGAAACCAGTATCGAAGCCAACCTTCAAGTTACACTTATTTTGAAAAGATGTTTTACCAATTTAAAACAATTCCAGAAAAAAAGCACATCTCTACTGGGGCAAGTTCAGTCTTACCTGCTTCAAATCACTTCTTAGATTCACCAAGAAGAAAGAGTCTCCAATGAAGCAGTCATTCTCTAGTGGATGGAGTGGCTTGTTAGCAAAGGGGTCAAGATGACAACACCATTCTTCAACCAGAGCTCCCCAGTTCTCACCTGGCAGTGGAAGCACCCTGAGCAACTTCCTAGTAGAAAGAGGGAAAAATTACTTTTCACAGTACAAAATGGAACTAACATTTTCTTAATTAAATCAGCATGAACGATGAGAAAAGCTCATTAGCCACATACTCACAATGCTAATTTCCCCACAATTGTAAAAGTAATATATGCTCACAGTAGACAATTTAAAAAATGTAATAAAGTATAAAGAAAACAGAAATCATTCTTTTCTTACTAGCCAAAGATAAGTAACTTTTTAATATGATGGGAAGTTTATAATTTTTTCAAGAGGTAAATTTGTATATATGCACAAGACATCTTGATCAAAAGATATAAACCGTATCTCATTTCTGTTTTGTTTAGTTACATCATGATTCCTACTGACTCTACAATATCCTATTTCATAGGTATATCAAAAGTTTTTAGATTTTAGTTATTGTTAGATATTTAGGGTTGAGTCCTTTATTATCAACAACCCTGTGATGAATATTCCTATTAAAATTTTGTATACATATCTGATTATTCTTTGGGAAAAAATCTGATAAGATTATAAGTACATAAGCACATTTTTAAGCCCAACACCCATTTGGTAAACTTCTTTCCAGAAATACTGCACTCATTTTCAATGAGTACACTTACTCTCTTCTTAACTGAATACTATCATTTTTCACCTTTGCCTAAGTAATGAGTAAAAAATATTCTCAATGCTGCTTTACTTAGCAACTCTTAAATTACTGGTGGATTGAACTGACTATTATACTTATTGACACCATGTTTCTTCTATAAATTGTGATAACTACTCCATGTTTCTTCTATAAATTGTGATAATTACTTTCCAATAAGGTACTATGATTATTAATCTGTAAAAGTATATTCTACATTAAGAATATTATCCTTGGTCTATCACTTGTTATAAATATTTTTCAGTGTTACTGCCTTTTAATTTGGTTTATGTATCTTCAAATCCACCTAACACTACCTCCTGTGATTTCTTCCAATACTCTCTATCAAGGAACTTTCATTTTAGATTTACAGAAAAGTTGCAAAGATAGTATAGATAGTTCCCATATGTACTTCACCCAATGTTAATATCTTATGTAACCATGGTAGGTTTGTCAAAACTAAGACTTTATCTAGATTTTAACATGTTTTCCACCAAAGTCCTTTCCTTCTTTGTCCATTTCATAATCTGATCCATCATAACACATTGCATTTAGTCATCCTGTGTCCCCTGGTCTGTTACAGTTTTTCAGTCTTTTCTATACCTTGAGATATTTGAAGATGCTGATCAAGTATTCTATAAAACATCTCTCACTCTGAGTTTGTCTGACATTATCTCAAGATTAGACTGGGCTATGGATATGGGGAAAGAATTCCACAGAGGTGAGGTGCCCTTCTCATTACATCATATCTCAGGGTACATTATATCAACATGACTTATCATTGGTGATATGAATCCTGATCACATGGTTAAAGTGATATCTGCTACTTGTCCCACTAATAAAGTACTAGTATAATATATATTTAGAAGTCTCAAACTGTTTAAGATATGATTGACTCTTTTATTAAGTTTATTCCAATCCCCTCATGTTAACCATTTCTCTTTAATTTATCCATCAACTGTAGTATCACAAATGGGTAATTTATAGCCTGGAAGAGGGCAATCACTTAATTTTTAACTTCAGAGGACAAAGCTAGGAATAAGAAATGCTAATTTTAGTTGAACACAAGGAATTATTTTCCTTGATAAATCAGGAAATGCTGTACCACAAGCATCATTCGGACTGCTAAGCCAGAACACTAAGGGGTGATTTTTTCCACATACATTTCCTCATGACTGCTATGAACCAGGCCAATCAGTCAGTGTAAGACATGATACATACAGTACCTTGACTCATATTTTAGTAAGAAATACAGGCTTATAAGCAAATGGCAGAAGCACATGTAAGAATACTCAGAATAGTGGGGCTCTAAACTCTTGGAGGAGGCGTTAATACAGGTCCATTTGAAATTTTGATGAAAGCATTAGCTTCTTTCCTCAAACATACATTCTCACATGCACACAAAATTTTTATATTATTTTAGGGAATTTAAGATACCCCCAACCCATACACAACCTGCTTGCCTAACGTTTGTATGCAGGGCAATACAAATATTAGGAAAGTAGGTTGTATATGGACTTCAGAGAACCCATAACATCTGAGCTGGCATTTGAAGGATAATAGAAGTTCTCCAGACAATGAAAGGAATTCTGGGCATCATGGAAGACAATATGAAAGCAGGCACAGCATATGTCTATCTTACCACTGTATTCCTACTGCCTGACACAGTTACTTCAATATTTGTTCAAGGAATGAACTAGCATATTTTGATAACTTGACATGTGAGGTCCCTAGCTGAGCCTCCTGCATACTGGGATGAAAGGGTTAACAAACCTGTTCCAGTGCTGCTTGAGAATCTGACCTTTGGTTTAACCACCTAGTTCTGTTACCCTGGAAACCAGGTAAGATCATAGGCATCAAATATATTGCTAGGCAACACGGCTTAAAGTAAAAAACGATCCCTGATTGGTAAACTGCATTTGGACTGGAAGGAACTGTAAACATCTGATAAAGACGACATGCTGGGCTTCCCTGAATGTAGTCTTTGTGGGAAACCCCAGAAACTATGCCAAAGAATTGTTACAAGAAACACTGTCTGCTCAGGGCACTACAGACTTCTAAGCCAGGGCAAAATGTATACCTGTCTGATGTGGATCTTGTGTTTTATACCTTTAACTGTGTCATGTGGGGAGACAAGAGTCCCCAGATGAGTATGTCACTGTCACTGTCATGAACTATTGCAGAGTCCCTGCTGAGCAGATTCCCGATGTTGCCTTGCAGACAATCTGGCAAGAAATGTGGCCTGTGGTAGTCCTGTGAGTCTGCATGTGTCCAGGAACTTAAGAAGACCCTGGGTGGGGGGAGGGGGTACTAAACACCCTTAGGACATTTAACATTTTCAGCTTTGTGAGGTTAAGAATTATCATTCCTACCTGGCAACAGTGTTTCAAACTTATAATCCTCCCCACTCCAGAGGCAGAGATTTGGAGGGTGGCAGTTGAGTTCATGAGACCCTCCCCCTGCCCCATCTCAACCAATGGCTGGGCCTGATGGCGTGCACCTGTTATCCCAGCTATGGTGGGAAAGTACAAATATGAGGGTGGCAGTCCAGGCCAGGGAGGGCGCAAAGTGAGATCCTATTTCAAAATTAACCAATGCAAAAAGGGCTATTAAAGTGGCTCAAATGGTAGAGCTCCTGCCTAGCAAGAGCAAGGCCCTGAGTTCTGCACACACACACACACAAAAGGAGCGAAAGAATGAAAAGAAAAAGAATTACCATCCTCCTGTTCCATAGGAGAAAAGCGAGGCTCAGTAAATGTTAAATGATCTGCACAAAGTTCACAGAATCATAGAAGCAGTAATGAGTGATGCAGGAGCTTAACGCAGGTCTTCCTAGCTCCAAAACTAAACTTTCCCTAGGAATGCATTCCTTCCTCTGGCAACACAAAACAGCAGAAAAGGAGGTGGGCAGGTGGGCTGGTGGCGAACTGTGTGCAGTGTTATGTATGTGCTTAGTTCTACAGACAAATGCTCACCATTACAAAATGGTGAGACGTGACAGGTCAGATTTCATTATTTACAAAGAAAATGAAAGCAAGTCAGTTAACTGTTTAGAGTAAGAGTTAAGTTTAAATACGCTCCTGGATTGCCTCCATCATTAAGCTTCCTTAGCCAGTCATGGGGAGCACAGCTGTAATCCCAGCTACTCAAGAGGTGGAGACCTGGAGAATCGCTGTTGAACTCCAGCTGGGTGTAAAGTTAGGGAGACCTCCATCTAAACAAACAAGCCCAGTGTGGACGCCTATAATCCCAGGTATGTGGGAGGTACAAGTAGAAGGATCACAGTGACAGGCCCCAGACAAAAACTGAAGACCTTATTGGAAAAATAACTAGAAGCATAAAAGGTTGTGGAGTGTGGTTCAAGTGGTAGCGTGCATACCTAGCAAGCATGAGGCCTTAAGTTCCTATACTACCAAAAAAAAAAAAAAGAAAAAAAAAGATTCTGTCCCCTCGCATTCTGTCTGTACACAGGGTTAACAAACAGATCTTTAATACAGTGCAAAAGACAGAAATGTCGAAATTCCATATGTGATCAAAGAAATGAAAGTGCATTTTCAGAGACCTGGGAGACTCGATGCACATTAACACAAAATACGATATTTCAAACTTAACTTGACCCCACAGCCCAGTGAATGAAATCTTTTAACCATCTATGTAATACATCAGGAGCAAGAAAGTGCCTAATTCACAAGTCATTGCGAAGATAAAAGGGGTTTTACAGCAGAAAGAAATTTTTCTGATGTTTTGAAAAAAACATAAAACCTTCAAGAACAAAAGATGTATTTTAATCACAGCTCTACTGAAAGTATATCTATCTAAAACACCGAGAAGTGTACTTTGATATGATCTCCTTCCCAAGAGAACTTTCAAAATAAAATAGACACCATTTGTTCCAAGTAGTTGAGGTAAAAACCTGCTGGAGCTCAGGAGTGAGATGATTACTTAAATTTTCTCTCGGCCTCGATTCTATGATGAACAGCACATTTTCATAATAAATTAAAAATCTGAGTTATTTTTAATGCATCTTGGGCACAACCTTTTGGGAAATAACTTGAAACACATAACCTTAATAAATGCTAGACTGCTATTTTATTTGATGCTTAAACATGCACATTAGAAAATAAAATGTTCCTTGACCTTAAAATTAACCATTAATCAGTGATTTATAATAATAATAACAACAGTAATACTGTAGATCTTTCAGCGATTGGATTATAGCCAAGTAAACATTAGGGATCTGAAGAATAATATCAAATATCCAAAGCTCAAAACATGGCTGCTGTACTTTGGCTAACTTCAGGTGACATTATTTCAATTGGCAGGCCTATAAATCTAGCTTTGCTTTTTAATACTTGTATGCATACAGTATGATTAGACCCATAAAAGAATAATTTCATGACAGGACCAATGGCTCACACCTATAATCCTAGCTATTTAGGACTCTGATATTGGAAGGATCATAGTTTGAGGTCAACAGGGCAAATAGTTAGCAAGACCCCCATCTCAACCAATAGCTGAGTGCAGTGGTGTGTGCCTGTCATCCCAGCAAAGGTGGGAGGCATAAAATAGGAGGATTGCAGTCCAGGCCAGCCTGTGCAAAAAGCAAGACCCTATCTCCAAAATAACCAGAGCAAAAAGGACTGGAGGCATGGCTCAAGTGGTAAAGAGTCTGCCTAATTAGTGCAAAGCCCTAAGTTCAAACCCTAGTATTGCAATAAATAAATAAAACATAGTAATAATTTTATTCTAAAAGTCTGCACAATGCTACCAATAATCCAGTTTATGCTGTACTTTTTTTCCTGGTGCTAGGGATTGAAGCCATGATAAGCAAATGCTCTACCATAGAGCTAAACCCCTAAACTTTTTTGCTCTCTTTTATAAAGAAGTGACCATATTTACAGGGGTAGTTATTTTCAGACTACAACTATAGCTGGTCTACCAAGTGGACCAGTCATAGTGTTGTACATTCTGACATCTCAGGTTTCCCTTAGCATAGCCAGTGCAGGTGGTACAGAATGGGGTGGTCCAGAGACCTCAGGAGAACACTGCATCAAATGGTCTGAAAATCCAAAGGCTTGGGTTTGAAAATCCATTTGGCCAACTGAAGTCATTCAAGTCTGAATTTATTTCTAGAAGACATAACAACTTCCAAACACAATGACCACTTCTTAGTCTGAGACTATCCACAAAGACGTAAATTACTTACTATTGTTGCTTGATTTTATGATCTACTTAGCCCAAAATAAAAATTGTACACATTCTGACCAATTTTTTTTGGTTTTGGTGGTACTGGGGTTTGGTGGTAACTGAGGGAGAAGTGTGATGACCACTAGGGTTGATAGCAACAGTCAGTATGTGCAGAGACTGGAGGAAGGACATATTTCCATTATCAGAGTCATGGAGCAAGGCTGTGGGTGGGGCTCAAGTAGAAGAGCTCTTGCCTAGCATGTGCAAGGTCTTGGGTTCAATCCCTAGAACCATATGGAGAGAGTCACAGGGCACACTGACTAACAAAACCTGAGTCACTCAGTAAGGATTTCTCTGTGTTGCTCAAGAGGCGTTCACAGGCCAGACACACAGGTGGGAAGTAGAAAGGCTTTCACATCAGACTTGCTTAAAGGAGGCAAGGCCAAAGTCCATTGTTTTATCTTGCCTAAGTGAAAAAGAGAAACGTGATTCATTTTTCTGACACACACAGACTATGTGAATCACAGTCCTGGAACAAAAGATTTGAAACACTAAACTAAATAATTTGCTAGTTTACTAGTAAGAACAGTTTAGAAAAGAGAGGAGTCCATAAAACTAATTTAAAGAACTGGTTGAGCATTTATATATGCTACATTCCTTAACTTTCTACAAGTTTGGAAAATAAGCTTTATTAAAATATTTATTAGAAGAAGCCAAGTGACAGAAACAAGATCCCCCAGCTACTAAGTGGTGAAGTTGGAGTTCAAACCCAGGGCCAATTCTCCTGCTTTTGCCTCTAACATGCTAAGGCCTCCTGAAGGTTAAGTTAGGACTGTGAAGGCAGTCCTTCAATGTCAGCCTTCACACCATCCTGGTTTTCAATTCTACAACAGAAGATACGGCTCCTGAAGAGGAAAACTGGGCACTATAGGTGAGGCTCTTTCACTTCCTCCTCTCTTCCCAGTGAAACAAAATATCAGCCAACAATGAGCAAAAAAATCCCTTTCTGTTACACTGTTCCTACTGTAACTTCCAAGTCACCTCATGTTATATGGGAGGGAATGTTGCAGAAACTTCATCTGAGAAATAAACCAAAGCCTGAAATAGATTGAGAAGGACAACAGAAACTGAAATCTCTTGGTCATTTCAGGATAAAGTGGGCCTGTCACCAGGCACAGACTCTGTGCCAACTTGAACCATGCTCCCCACAACTCTATGAGGTAAGTGCTATTATTATCCACATTTTCTCAATAAGGACATTGAGGAGCAGAGTGGTTAAGTAACTTACCCAAAGTCACACAGCTAATAAATGGTAGATGCAAACTCAATCCAGCTTCTGAGTCTGTACTATTGGACACTACCCTATACTGTACTCCATAGGAATGAATGATACTGAGGTGTGGCTCAAATGGTAAAGCACCTGCTTTGCAAGTGCAAAGCCCTGTATTCAAATGTCAGTTCCATAAAAAAAAAAAAAAGTACACACACACAAACACACACACACACACACACAGAGTCCATTTTTCCATCCCCACAGACTAGAGTTTAATCGTGAAGACAAGTAAATAAACTTTAGAGGAGTACCTAAAGAGGCACAGGGTTTAGGAATGGAAGGCTCCCAGTAGCAAATATGCTATCAGCTGAATTCTGAAGTTCAGGTAAGTGCTAACCACAGGGAGAGGGGGTGTGGGGTACATTCAGGAGAGGAGTAGCTGTCAGATGGCCCCAGGGTGAAGAAAAGGTGAAGAAACCACAGAACTGCATGCTAACCACCTGAGCTGTGCATAGAACATGAGTGGTACCGGTGTGCTTGGGGAGGAGGGAGGAGGCTGAGGGTGGAGAGGTGAACAGGTGAAGTCATAAAGGAGCTAATGTGACAACCTAAGGACTTAAAAACTTTACCCAGAAAGAAAGGGGGAGCCAGGGGATGGTGGTTACACAGGGGAGGCAGATGAATTCTTAAATAATCACTCAGTAACAGATCCGAGAAGGCAAAACTAGAGGAAGGCTGAGCAGACAGGAGCTGGCCACAAGGGTTGTTAGGTAAGAAGTCAGTGGCCTCAACTAAAGTGGTGGCCCTGGGATGGAGGAAAGAGGACTTAACACCAAAGGAAGCAGCTGCAGTGCCTGGTGACAATTTAGGGAGACAGAGTGGAACCCAGCAGGTTTCTACATTAAGGACAGAGGCCTTGCATTATGGAAGAGGAGCAGCTTTCTATCAGTGCCTTTTTGTTCACTTACAAATGAATACCTGACTCAGGAAACCCATCAAAGAATTCTACATATTGTTAACAGTAATAAGGTTTCATTTGTCTTTCCAACCTAACGAGTGATTCAAAGATGAAAATTCAGAGAGAAGAGGTATAAGAAGGCTGACCAGAGGGAGAGAGGAGGCAGAAAATAAATAAGTACAATGTAAAACCAACTTAATCACGGCCCATCACCAGAAGAATGGAGCACAAGATTAACCTAATCACCAAAGAAAGGTTAATTTGTGCTCCATGTGTTATGTTTTAATAAGCAGGGAAAACAGGAAATGGATTTTAGAAAGGCACAGATAGAAACAGCCTAGACAAAAAGTCCTGCTGCACAAGCTTCTGTGAGGTAGAAAACTTCTTCAATGTGGGAATTCTCACTCATGTGGCTACAACACACAAGAGAACCCATGTCTCCTTTTAAGAAGAGAGGTGCTCGAGTGGTCACCCCAGGCTCTTCCCCCAAAATCAGCCTTCCTCCCTCAAACTAGCATCCTCCTCTCCCCTTTCTCACTACTCTGCTGCTGAAATCTGTGGTTGATTCTGTTCAAAGTGACATTAAACTGTCTCTCATTTTAAAGCCATATACTGCTCCCTTGGTAATTACTTCAAGAATTCTGATAGGGAAAGCAGAAACCATTGCCAGGTACAGAAGAAATCAGTGTTAAATGCATTCCTTACCTGTCCCTTATTATGACTTCACCACAGGACTGGCAATAAAAAGTGCAACATTCTTGGGCTTTCGAGCTTTGATTAAACATTGAAATCAGTTCTAAAGGAAACCAATGAAATAGCAAGTCTTAGAGGTTTGGCACAAATATATTAACATACTCAAGGGCTTATTAGCCACAGTAACCATTAATACATACTGCTTATGATATACCAGAAGCACACACTGAATTTGTACTACCTGATGATGACTCAACCAGAAGCAAACATTAGAAGTGTTTTCAAAAACAACAGATTGGCTAAGTGTTTCTGAGCTAGGTGATGCCCTAGATTACCCCATGTCACATAGGGATGAGTTACTTCTCTCATTCTATAAATGCCAGCATTAATTATGAGTGAAGATGGATACCTAAAATTTAAATGGAGTCTGATTTTAAAAAGGTTTATGTCAACCCAGCACACATTTCTAGTACATACCACAAAAAAGGATGGTGAAACTGGTTTCTAGGGCCATGCCCCTGAAACAGAATGGCTCTTAAGAAGAGCCCAATTTTCCAAGAAGAAAATTCCATGTCTGATGAAAGCTGTGAGGAAAGTGTGCATGTGCACATGAGTAAAACAGCAGCACAAGGCACCATGTTCCCTTAGTTTCTGTTATTTCATTTGTGAAGAAGAAAAATTTTATTTGGGGAAAAAAACCCACCAAAATATTTGCCAATTAAAAAACCTAATTGAAGAAATGAGGTCACAGTCATTAGAAGAGCAGGCAATGTGAATTTGTATAAATTTTAAGGATTAGAAAAAAAAAAACTAATGACAGAAAGTTCATGCCTTAGCAATTAAAAATTCTGCGGTTTTATTTCTAAAGGTGTTCACAAATCCTGACAGCATTAAGGTGAAATAAACAGTATCATTCTTTAACTCTGAGCTGATAAAAGAAGACCTAGGTAAGACATCTAAAATATTCTTTTCAGAACCAATGAATTCTTAGAGAAACACTACCCTCTGCTGGTCACTGGGGTCAGGTTTGAAAGTCAGAACTCTGATCCAGAGGAACCCTGGAAGAGCTCGCTGCTGGGGATGAGTCCAGTGCGAGTACTGATCACATCCCACTGTGGCCAGTCCCTTCTAGGGGTCACCTTCTGACCTGTGCTACACTCTAACCACTGTAATGGTTATTATGGTTGTTCCTAAAAGGGTATTCTTACAGTTGGAAAGCCAACCTTCTAAAAACCCTAAAACACAACTGATGTTAAAAAATTCAAAACCTTTTTACAATATAGTCTGAGTTCACATCAGTATGCATTTACCTGATAACTATTCAGGCAGCAAATATTTTTCCCCACCTATTATGTGGAACGTACCAAAGCAATTAAGTGCCCAGGAAGCTACTTTGCATATGCTTTCATGCACCACTGACCAGGCCTTTGAAAGTTTGACTTTTCAGATATTTGAGTGAATGTTTTAAAAGTGTGAAAAATAGGAGACCAATGAACACAAACAATATGCAAACCAGCACACAACAGTTCATTTATTTTGTCCTACAGTTAAGGTAAAACAGTGTTCATTGATTTAAATTTTTTAAAATAGTTCCAATCTTGCTATATGTATATTCAGAGTTACAGACTAAAGGTGGGCAACAATCTAGCACTATATCCTTCCTCCATCCCTAAAATTACACTGTGACTTTCCTGCCTGCCTTCCCCCAGTTTCCAGACTCAACACAAGTTTGCTGCTGTGGTTACTGTTGCTAAAGGAGAAGGTGGATGACATCAGAGATCCAGACTCACACAGCCTCTGCTTTGAAGCAACACCTCTCTGCCCATTTTTGCATTATTTCTCCATCTTGGTGACCTCATCCTTCTTTCCCATGGTTGTTTCAACTGACATTCTTAGTGTTTATCCTGTGCCACTTAGCTCTATGACATCCCTTTTCCCTACTTCCTGCTCCTAACAACAATTTGCCCAACTCAAATTAGTTATTCACTAATCTGAAACCTTGGCAAAAAATTACTCCTTCTTACTTCTCTTTCAAAAGCCAAGGGACTGCTCAACATCTGATGGCTTCTCAGGACAATCCCATTGTCCCCACTTCCAAGCTCCACGTAACTCATATGGGAGGCTTTTATTATAGATGAGACAGCAGTGAAGTCTCAGGGTACAGTTTAAAAAATTACCACTCTTCTCTAATAACAAGCATGACATCAGTCTTTCACAGCCTGTTTCCCCCAATGAACCAGTAATTTTTACTCAATAGATAAACATGAGGTTTTAAAGAAGAAAATTTTCTACTGCCTTACTGAATCAATATGCAATTTGAATTTGTATACATTATTAAATTCTGCAATTATAATAGTTATAGTGACAATCAAAATCAAATTACATATGTCCCTCAACTTCAGGGTCTTTATGTATACTGTTCTCTGTACTTGGGATAGTCTTGACATGGATAGGGCAATTTCCATGATTCAGTTCTAGTCAAATATCACCTCCTCAGAGTGGTCTTCCCTGACTTTCCATCCTTCACTAAACCCTAAGTCATTCCCTATGCTATTATTCTCTTTACTTTACCCTCTGCACTTTTCTCCATATGCAACTCAATTATGTGCTCACTGTCTGTTCCCACCCAGTAGAATGCAAGCTCCAGGTGGGCAGAAACCGTCCCTACTTGTTCACTTCCATATCCCTGACACCTGGATCAATGCCTCACACATGGTGTGAGCCCTACTATTTGCTGAATGAATGAACTTCTATGCAATGCTCTAAAATCAATCAGGTCTTGCATAACTGCCATGTGATTTAATCTTCACATCTGTGAGCCAGAAAACTTTACAATTAAAAAAACACAATTAAAGAAACACATCGGGGATATAGTGTAAATCTACATACATTTGGCTCAATTTTGCTGGGAACCTAAGAGTGCTTGCTCTAAAGTTCCCAGTCTATTGAGAAAAAAAAAATACTAAAAAGAAAGAAAGGAAGCCCAAGAAAGGTCAGTTGACATATTGGACTGCACACAGCTAGCAACAAAGCTGACAAAGACTCCAGATCTTCTCAACCACAGCTCTTCAGGCTGCTGATAGGTAGTCTTTTCACCCAGGAAAAGTTCAACTTAAAGAAAAGTTGAACCTTACATTTTTCAAACCTTAGATTTGAAAAACAAAATAAAATGCAAAGCAGAGAAGCACCCTACTCACTTGGGCTCACTTGGGACTCCGTGTGCGCCCGCAGGCGCAGGTGCAAGCCATCCCCGGCCACATGGCACAGCCCTCCACAGGAGGAGGGCACCAGCCTCATCTCTGCTGGAAGCTGGATCTCCACGCAGCCCGCAGGGTTCTCCACCCGGAGCAAGGTGGGCATCACAGAAACATCCACAGACATGCTTCCTCTGCTCGGCTCCCTGGTAAACAAAAACAAAACCCAAACAAGTGACTTACTTCTCTCATAAAAACCACATGATGAAAGAAACAAGAACAGTCAAGATCCTTCAGTTCTTCCTCAAAGGCCCTAAAGGCACTTTCTTGCTTCTGAGACTCACATTAAACTCATATTGTATCTCACAGTAAACCAAGCATTGTTCATTTATATACAGGATTTTGATAAGAACAGGATTAAGTAAAACAAAAGATACTACAGAAAAAACTTTCTTGTCAAGTTTTTTAAAAAAATAGTGAAAAAAATATAGTGATATATGAATGCTAGGTGTGAAAGGACTACTAATTTAATTTAAGATAAATACAATTATTCAGTGGAGGCAGCAAAGAGTAAAACAATCCTTGTCCAGCAGGCATTGAAATTATAGGAGGGGATGAAAGCATATCTAGAAATAACTGTAAATACCATAGAAAGTGATGGAGGCGGATATAAAGGTAATGAGGCTTATATGTGCTTACCTGGTACAAAGTACCATGGCTCCCCCTGGTTTTGTTTGTTTGGGGGTTTTCTGTTGTTGTTTTGGTGCTGGGAGGGTTGAACTAAGACTTTGCTACTAAAATAGGCCACAGGTTAAAGCTCCTGCTCTCCTACAGACTTACATCCTAGTCTGGCAAGACATCCACTAGGCGTCACATAACCATAGACTAGCAGGTCATGTGTTCTGCGTGTCATCTGATAACAGAGGGCAGACCATGTGTCTAAGTATTAATCTTGGTTAGGCCTTTCATTTGCTTTGGGAAATCTTAAGACTATTTTCTGGCTAACACCTTTTCAAAGCATATGTATTTGCACTTAATTAGCAATACAGAATATCAAGAACTTGAGTTTTTTTGCAGCAAGGGTGGCTTCAAACCCTTAAATCAAGTCCGATTTCAAAAAAATGACATTAAAGCTGGGTGCAGTTCTATGATCCTAGCTACTCAGGAGGCAGAATGAGAGACTCACAGTTCAAGGCTACCTTGATCAAAAAGTTCTCAAGAGCCCATCTCAACTAATAAAAGCTGGATGTGATGGGGCCTGCCTTTCATCCCACTTAAGCAGGAAGAGTAAACAGGAAGATTGTGGTCAGGGCCTTCCCAGCATAAAAACAAAATGTCATTCAAAAAATACCTAAAGAAAAAGGAAAAATAAGAGAATGACATTCAAAAAAATGGCTTTGTGGGCTACATCTGGTTTCTGTTACATATTCTACTTTGTATTTTTTTAACCCTTAAAAAATAAAAGGTAAAAATGCCAGATATAGTGGCAAATGCCTAAATGCCAGCACTCTGGACACTGAAGTAGGAGGATCATGAGTTCAAAGCCAGCCTGGGCTACACAGGAAGAACCTGTTTCAAAAAAAGCAAAATCCATTCTTAGCTTACAAGCTATACCAAAACAGGCTGCAGGTCAATTTGACCATAAGCTGTAGTTTGCTGACAACTGCTCTAAAGATATACCATATTCATTTTGCTACCTCAGTGATTTTCAACTGGACTAAGTGGCTGGCACTGCAAGTGCCTCCAGGGAAAGCGCTAGGTACCTAAACCCTCACTCCTACTCAATCTCTGACTTTACAGTCTTCTTCCCCTTTCTGGAAAATTCAGCCAATCACACAGAGCTGAACAAGGGGCATCCATGCAAGAAATGAGGGCAGCACAGCAGCCTGGCCTGGAAGAGAGAAACAGGCAAGGTGAGGAGCACATCCAACAGGAGGACCACCAAGCAGGGGTGTCAGCCCCAAGATAGATGTGGAAGACATCTGAGCATGTTAAGGGAGGGCAGCTCAGCCTGGGGCTTCACAGCCTGTCTTGTCTCAGGCTGCTATAACAATATATGGACTGCTCCCTTGATGTCCTTAGGAGACTGGTTCCAGGACCTCTACAGATGTAAAACTTCTCCTCCAATGCTGGAGCCTCTTATATAAGATAGCGTAGGATCTACATAACCTATGTACACCTTCCCATACATGTTAAATCATCTACACGTGATTTAATACCTAAAACAAATGCTATGTAAATAGTTGTTACATGGTATTGTTTAGGGAATAATGATAAGAAAAACAAGTCTGTATATTTTCAGTATGGATGCAGTTTTTTTCCCTGAATATTTTCAATCTGAACTGAACTGGTAAAGGATGCTATGAAGATGTGGAACTCACAGATTTAGAGGGCCAACTATCTCATGGACTGGGTGACCTAAATAAGATATTGTGCAGAATGGTAGTTTTGGTGTCTCTTCTTAAAAGGACATCAACCTCACCCTGGTGGCTCCAGCCTCATCACCTCATAGACCCCCTAATTACCTCCTAACACCATCACTTTGAGGAATGAGGCTTTAACACATAAATTTCAGGAGGACACGAACACTCCATCTATAACAGAGTCCAAGCACAGGAAGAGCGTCAACAATGAGTAGGGGCAAGCAGCACCTTAGGTACGCAGAGAAGAAGTAACCAGAGAAACAAATAGCATGAGGCTGACAACCACCAAGCTTCTTACTGTAGGAGGATGTAGTTACAAAGAGAAAAAGGGAGATGCTATGGTAGTGGACAAGAACTGGAAATACTTGTGTGAAATCATGGCTTTGGATGCATATAAATTAGTAATAGTAACATAAATAGTTGTACATGTTTATATGAACATCCATCTATAAACTACCATACATTGTCAAACACATATACACCCTAGTTCTGAGAAAAATGATACCCCAATAGTAATGAGCATACTCAGTACTCAACTCTCAGTCTGTTAAGTCCATTTTCCATTTAAATTAAAAAAAAAAGAAAATGTAAAAAAAAAAAAAAAAAAAAAGGGGGCTATAGCTTAGTGGTAGAGCATTTGCCTACCATGGGAAAGGCCCTGGATTTGATTCTCAGTACCACAAAATAAATAAACAAATCTATAAATAAAAAAAATTTTAAATTGTTAAAAAAAAGAAAAAAAAGGTTGAGGGTATGGCTTAAGTGGCAGGGCATTGACATAGCATGTGTGAGGCCCTGTGTTCAACCCCCAGTACGACAAAAAAAGAAAGAAAAAAAACAAAAAAAAACAAAACCAGGGCTTCTTGGAAATACAACAACTACATCCAGAACTGGAGCAGGAAAAGAATGAGATAAGTCTAGAACATCTTGCCGTGCAACAAAGCAAGAGAGAAATCAAAGAATGATAGGAACATACCAAAAAAGGCACAGAAACCACCATGAAGGGACATCACTGGCTGTATCCGCTGTGGTCTGAGTAAAAAACAACCCACTGACCACAATAGGTCTATGTGTTCTTTCTGATATAGATCAGTGATTGAATAAATTTAAATTTACCCTAATGTATACCAGGGTATTTACATAGAATCCTATCTCTCCAATTAATATTTTTGATTATGAAGGGAAAAATAGTAACTTTAAGGTGGACAGGCCTGGTAGACACCATCTTACTAGGTACTCAAAGTTAACATAACCAATAATGGAACAAATCCAAGATCTGTGCCATCTGATAGGATACAATGAGAAAAGCACAGAATTACTTCCTTAACATACCTGCCAAAGATGAAGAATAACCAGAATCTCAGATTGAGGAAATAGATAAACCCAAATGGAGGGTTATCCTACAAAACAATTGTGCTAAAATCTTAAAAAGTGTGAAGGTCATGAAAGTCAGGGATAACCTATAATCTTTCAGACTGAAACATATCAAAGAACTGTGTCAATAAAATGCAAGGCATGAAAGCCTGGAGTAGTACAGGCTTTAATCCCTGTACTCAGAAGGCTGAGACAGGAGGATATTGAGTTGAGGCCAGCCTGGGCTACACAGTGCAAACAAACAAACAAACAAAAACATGCATGGATTTTTTTTGCTATTAGGACATAATGTGGAAAACTGGCAGAACATGAATGATATTTGGGGATAAAATGATAGAAACATATTTCCCAGCTTTGTGGGTTACATAATGTTTACTTAAGAGAATCCTCCTTTGAGTTTCTAATTTTGGTGATATTGTCCACACAATTCTTTCACATTTGAGGCATTCTTACTATTCACCTTATTATTTTGATGCCACACCCTGCTTAAAACTATCCAAAGACCTCACATCTTACTTTTGAATACAAGACAGCATCCTTTCAATGTTCTTTAAGACCCAGTGATAAACTACACTCAGCCTCCATAAGCTCTGGAGTACCAGTTGTTAAAATTCCAGGAATTCTGCAAATCAGTACACCTCATTTTGGTAGGCTAAAGGTCATCCATGATGGAAGTACTCAGACCAAGGAATCGATAAATGCTACAAATCAAGGTATTTATTTTTTTCCCTTGGGGAGTGGGTTGTTAAACATTGTCCAGCACATAAAGATAAGACCCTTCTTTTTATATCTTCCCATTCCACACACATCTCTCTGAAGCAGGCACCTATGTTTGTCAGCTTTTCATTGCTGTGTCAAGATACCTGAGAAAAACAACTTAAAAGGCAGAAAGTTTCATTTTGGATCATAGTTTCAGTCAAGTCCTTCACCCTGCTGCTTTGGGCCTAAGGAGAGGATGAACGTCATGGAGGGAGGGAGTGATAGAGCAAAGCTGCTCACCTCAGGATGGAGAGAGAGAGACAGACAGAGACAGAGAGATACCAGGGACAAGATTTGCCCTTTAAGGACATGGGCCCCAGTGACCAACTTCCTCCAATGAGGCCCACCTATACTTTCCACCACCTCCCAATAGCCCAGCTATGAATCCATCAATGGATTAAACCACTGATGAGATTAGACTCCTCATAATCTCATCACCTCTGAACACTGCTACACTGGGTTTGATGCTTTCAACACATGAGCCTTTTGGAGGTGGGGACATTCCATACCCAAACCATAACAGTACCCCTTTAATAGTCTTCTACCTGCTATCCCAGAGTTCCATGCCTCCCCCCTTTAAGTTTGTTAGGCAAAAGCTTACTACCAGACTTCATGATACAATATTAGAAGCATCTTTTTAAAATTAGGGACAAAAATTAACTCAACCATATCAATATTTAAATAAATGTACTAAAAATTCTAATTAAAATGCAGAGATTGTCAAATGGATTTGAAAAAGCATTCAGCTGTATGCTATTTTAACAAATCTTATTTACAAAGACCTAGGTTAAAACTATAAGCATAGGAAAAAGACATACCATGCCAACAGTATATTTCGCTGATTTGTGATAAAAATGCTAACCTATTTCAATGAGAGAAATGATAATCTTCCTAACTAATGGTGACAGAACAACTGGATATCCATATAGAATAAAATGAACTTTAAATGCTCTAAACACAAAATGAATTCAACATGCCAGAAATCAAAAGTTATAAAACTCTTAGAAAATAAAACTTCGAAGGCTGAGTGCAGTGGCACCTAGCTATTTAAGAAACTGAGGTAGGAGCATCTTTTGAACCCAGAGGATCAAGGCTAGCCTGGTAACAGGGCAAGATTTCATCTCCCCAAAAAAAAAAATTAAAAAAAAAATTAAAAACCTGGGGAAAAAAATCTTCTAAAACTTGAGATAGGTAAAGATTTACAACATAACAAAATACTGTTAAAGAAAAAGGTGATAAGCTAGACTTCATTAAGATTAAAGTATTTATTCATCAAAAGACAGTACATATTGAGCATATCTAATCCAAAAATCCAAAATACTGAAATGAAAAAGATTAGCAATGCTCAACCGATACTATCTGTGCAAATATTCCAAGATCCAAAAATCTCCAAAATCTGAACTACTTCAGGTTCCCAGCATTTCAGATGAGGGATACCTAACCTATATTAAGTTAAAAGGTGAAAAGGTCTGTCACAGATGAGGAGAAAACATTCCTACATGCATAAGACATACAGAAAACACCGTCTCAAGTCAATAAGACAACCAACCTCACTTTTTACTAGTAAGAAACTACAAGAAACTTTACAAAAGAATATATTTGGATTACCAAAAAGCATATGAAAAGCTTCTCAACATTATTAGACACTACAATCACACTGATACCACCTTATGTCCACTAGAATGCCTCAAACCAAAAACACCAACAACACTAAATGCAGGACAGAATGTGAAACAATGGAACTCTCGTTTTTTTTTTCTGATGAGTGTATAAAACTGGTACAACCACTTTGGAGAACTGTTTACATGTCCTCACAAAGCAATGCCCACATCCATCCTAAGACCCAGCAATTTCATTCTTAGGTATTCACCCAAGAGAAAGAAAATGTCACAAAGCATACAACCAGGCTGGGGGTGTGGTTTGGTGGTTAGAACGCTTGCCTAGCACACGTGAGGCCCCCTTGGTTCAATCACCAGCACCACAAAAATAAATAAATGAATAAATAAATAAATAAATAAAAAGACTTAAAAAGTGATGCTGTGGCAGCTGTACTCATAAGCACACCCTGGAAACAAGCAAACCATCCAGCAACAACAGAACACATAAAGGATTTGTGGAATATCCCCATGACGTAAAAAGGAATGGAAAGTGATATGTACAACAGCACAGACAAAACACCAGTCTCAAAAACATTATGTTGAAGGAAAGCAGTCATAAGTAAAAGTACAAACTCTAAGAACTCATGTATACATAGTTCAACAAATGGTAAGGTTATGTTGAATGTTGAATGAAATTGGAACCATGGCTGTTTCTAGGTACCAGTCACTAGAGTTAAAGCCCAACAGGAACAAACTAGTAGTCCAGCAAATTTAGGTCCTGAACAAAATTAACTCAGGGGAACCATGATAGGGCTCCATGACAGAGGAGTGAGAGGGTTTGTTTTGCATGGTGGGAGACTGGGGCTGTTTTTGGTAAGGTTTGGATTCCTAATTACCCTACAAGATGAGACTCCTAATTTATTCCCCCCACCCCCCAGCATCAAACCCTGGTCTGTGCATGCCAGATGAGTGTTCTACCACTGAGCTACATCCCACCTGAACTCATGATTTTTAAAACAGAAAGGAGAGAAATCCAGTATTACTCCCATGTAAAGAAATTCAGATTATTCTACCCTTGTGAGGAAGCTGGGATTTGAACTCAGTTCTCACACCAAATCCAGAATTGCCACACCGACTACTTGGCAGATTTAAGGAAAAGAGGAAAAACTAAGCAGCAACCTAACTGTGGCACTGGGTAGTAAGATTTTCAGGATTTTAACATCTAACTTCCTTTATCTGGAAGAGCTGTCACAAGGAAATAAGCAAAACCTATTAAAGAGGTCCACGAACCGTTAAAATTGCTGCCAACAAGCAAAAAAAAAAAAAAAAACATTTTCCCCCTAAAAAGTTTGTGTAGTAAGTAGCAAGTTACCAGCTTGCAGCCTTCTCACAGGAACTTGGAGTGCAAATAAGACAGACCTTTTCTGGTCGTTCACTAAACCCAGCTGTTAAATTGTTGCGTACATTTCTCTGTATAGAGCAGACTGGGGAAGCAAAGGGGAATAAATAATGAGGTTATTTACAGAACAGGAGGCTCACAGGCTGGAACCTAGCTTTATATGAGGATCCTGGATAGAGGTGGAGTGGCATTTTTTTTTTTTTTGCATTGTTTTGATGGAAACACAGGACACTGCCAACGATGTATTCCGTCCCTCTTCCCAAAACCCCGCTGTGCTTATTATCCTAGGACTCCTAGTAAAAAAACCTAGGTTCTGATTCAGTAGATCGGGAGTGGGGCGGATGCCCTGCAGTTCTAAAAAGCTCCCAAGAGCCGCGAGGAAGGGCGAAAAGTCCCAGTCCGGGTTCTAGGGGCCGCAGCCCGGCCCGCCCCGCCCCACGCTCCCGCCAGTCTTACCCCACGATCAGCAGCGCGCTCTGCAGCCGTCTCCGCACCTCCAGGAACACGCGCGTCTCCGCCGCCATAACCCGCGCCCAAGCGCAGAACCGAACAGAGCACGGGGAGCTGGCGAACCGGGACGACCCGGGCCGGGAGCGCCAGCACGTGCGGCGGGAGCAGGCGCCGCAGCCGGACCAGATCGCGCGTCCGGCGTCCCCTGGAGCCCACAGCGCCACCTTCCGGGCGGAGAGCGCGCAGTCGCGAGGGCGTGGGGACCCCCAGGAGCGCACTTTTTAGGCTGGGAAAGGTGGGTGCAGAGCCAAGCTGTCCTCCCACTATGATGACTATCAGTGTGACCTGGAGCCTCACCCTTCTGGAAATGACCATACAATTCAGACCCGGGTACATTCCTTTGCCTAGCTTGGATGGACCAAGGAGGAGATGAAATACAGGGGGCACGGTCCCCAGAAGGTCCAAGAGCCAAGTTTCTTGCCACAAGCCCACTTTATCTCACCCTGCTTTTTACGAACTACGGTTGTTTATTAGACTCTGTCTGAAGCAAATAAAATGTCACGGACTAAATTACATTGTTTCTAATTCAAACAGGAGAGCGCCAAGATGGAAAAATCCAAGGAGCTCTCTTACTTGAAAGAATGGCTGAAGCCTAGTATCTTGAGTCACAGGACTAATTTTTCATGCAGCCTTTGAAAAAAAAGTAAGATGCGCATTCGTTCCCACTATTTTGCACAAGAATGGACTCTGAGAAGTAATTTCATTGCTGCTACAAGGTAATTTTTGAAAGTTTGACACAGGAAAGAAAAGGATGGTGTGCAGTGTGAATGCTTATAATGGAGAAATAAAAAGATAAGAAGTCACAGTACAATTAAAACAGGAATTCTTTAAAAGCCAAAGGCTATTCTTCAAAGTAAACATTGAAGGCTTGTAAGAAAAACCTGTTTAGTGATGTTCCAGTTTATCATTTTGAAGTTATAATTATCACACAGCAAACATAAATTTAAAGTATTTTGAAATGAATCTTTTAATATAACTAAAGACAATTTTTTTCTAAAATTCACATTTGGGGGTCTTTGAAGTTTACCATGATAACATGAAATCATGGGTGGGAGTAATAACTCAGTAAAAAGATAAAAACTACTTGCTATTTGGTCTCTTAATTTAAGGGTGACGATCTCAAGTCTAAATCCTCTTCCACCTTTAACACGCAAGGCTGTTAAATACTTAATACTCTCACATTATATCTAAATTTATATCATTCTTAGAACCGTGTCCTCTTCATCATTGGTGTTCCATTAGTTTAAAATTTTATATATATAAACTCCCAGTTTTTGACCCTATGGTCTGGACAAAGTAGTGCAGACCTCCTTGGAGTAACTTGATATGACTGAAATATTTTATTTTAATATTTTATTTGGCAAAATAATGCCAAATGTGGTATTAACCATTTGTCTCCTAACTTTTCACAGACCCTCTTGGGGCTAAGATTACTCGTATAAAATCGGAAGGATTCTTTAAATACTACTTAAATAATATCGAAAAGCTATTTTCAATTCTCCGTGTCCCTTCAAACTCTCTATCAATATGAGACTTACGCTGTAGATTAAAAACACCTGCTAAAGGCGCCGCTGACCCACTCCCGCCCTGGTGCCTGTGGCCGCCTCCTCCAAACAGCCACTAGAGGGCGCTGTGGCTACAGCTAGCACCCACAGGCAAGGAGCGGTCGGGGGCGGGGATCGAGGGCCGTCGACGTCGACGCCGGCGTGGGCGCGCGCGGTGCACGCTGGGAGCTGTCACTAGGCCCTTCGGCTCCCGGTCTTCGTGTCGCCACCGCGGTTGCCAGGAGAGCGGCGTCGGCGGGGAGCGGCCAAGCCCGCGGCAGGTAACAGCGTCCCCGCCCCCGGCGCGGTTTCGAGACTTGCTCTGGGTCCCAAGCAGCCTCCCCGGCCCGGGTAGCTCTGGAACCGTGGGTCTGGGTGCCGCGGCGTCGGGGGTGTTGCCGCCTTGGCCCCGCTGGGAGCCGCGACGCCGTGGGTGTCCGGAGAGTCGGGCGCCGCGCGGGGACCCCGGGTCTGTCTCGGCCGAGCGTGCGCAGGGCGGGGGGTGGGGGGTCGCACCTGGGCGCCGTGGCGCGGCGATCTTTGTTGGCGGGCTCTGGGCGTCCGTCGCGTAGTCTCTCCGTCTGTGGGGTTCCTCAGGATTGAGAAGACGCGAATGCCAACCACGGTTGAGGGGGGCGGGACAGGAGTGCCCAAGTTTACTAAGAGGAAGTCGGGAGTCACACGGAAGTTGTTAACCATCATCACCTTTGATTAAAAGTTGCAGCCTAACGATAGTTACTTGTTTCTCTTTCATTCTTCCCTCCTTCCCCGAGGGGGCGGGGAGAGCCCGCATCTGTACTTAAAAAATTTGTGTTTTGTGCTTACACATTAGCTAAGAGGTCTTTGGAATGCGAGACTCAAATATTAAGGAAATCAGATTTAGAGACTGTAGTCAAAGGAATTAAAAAATGTTTGGTGATTACAAAAATATAGGAAACTGACATATAAGCTTGGACTATGAGACAAAAATATTTCAAGTTCAGTGTTGTCGGCTGTTCACGTAGACATACGTTCTTGACATACTAAATTTTTTGTAAATGTTAATTTGGCCTTCTACGAATAACATGTCAGCATTATGTGCCATATAACTCAGCAACTGATAGTCAACACAGTGATTTTAGTATTGAGAGTCCATAGATGACATGAGTAAAAAGCACACGTAGTCCAAATGCCTTATTTTTAATGATTACTTTCAGCTAAACTTCATTGTTTCTTAGAATTGCTAAGCAATAACAAATCTCCGGGTGGACTTCATTATTAGGGACCCAATGTTAGCAAAGAATTAAAAACAGTGAAGTTAATACACAAACCAGAAAATGAGACATCCTGACAAAAATGTTAAAGGTACTCATGTTACCATGTTCGTATTTTGTAGAAATGGTGGCCTGAGGATGAACAGATGAGGTTTAAAATTCTCCCTTGTGCAGCTCACCAGGTGTAATTTCTCTAGACTTCAGTTTTGTGTGGGGTGTTTTGTTTTATTTTGCTTTTGCTTTTGTTTTTTAACAGTGCTGGGAAACCAGGGACTCATGCATGGCTGGTAAGCATTCTAAATTCTACCACTGACCTACACCCCCCAGCCCTTTGCAAACTTTCTTTTTTGGTGGTAGTGGTGCTGGAAATCAAATCCTGGACCTTGCTCTTGCTAGGTCTGAGTTTAACAGTTTTGTTGATAAGGTTTTCCAAACTGATGTTTCCCCTGAACACTATACTACAGCAATTTAATAGGCTTACCTTCCCTAAGTAATGTTTCCTAACAGATGACTTGGGAGCACACTAGATTAAACAAAGTTCTATTTTTGATTTTTGATAAAAGCAGGACTTCTCAAAACTTACTGCTATTCTCGCATGTATGTAATCTCCAGAGGGAAGTTTTCATAGCATTCCCTAAATTTACATAGCCAGAGAGCCTATTTTCTCATGGCTAACCTATTAACATCTCTGAATAAAATTATACAATGTAAATTTTAAAGTTGCTATATTGAGCGATACCTGCTTTTTGCTGTAAAAGTCCATGTATTAGCCCACTTTTTGCTGTCAGTTTAAACTTTCTGGAGCATGAAGATCTAGGGGCATCTTGCTGGTATAATGAGAATTAACTTTCCTTAGCAAATAATGCTTTAATTTATAGTAGAATATCTTCTTTTTCTGGACTCTTGATGCTTTTCTTTAACCATAATTAATTCATGATTTGCATTTGATTTTATAGTTCTTACTGATTTTGTTCCAACACATAAGGATTTGTTAATAATGACTACTTTTACTGTGATGATTTTCCCTTCTAGTTATAAATTCTTAAATCTGAAATATAGTTAAGTCACCTGAAATATACTTAATATTTAATAACTACATAATGTTAAAAGCTTAAGTCATCAAGAAGAGCTAAAGATTAAAACAAATTCTGAAAGTTATTTCTAAATTGCTGATACACAGGATCCAAGTGTTGGATACAATCTTGAATAATTTTGCTAAATTCTGTTTTGTGTGTTGTGGAGGTCAGACTTTTTGTTGCTATGACAAAATACCTGACAAACACTTTAAGAACTATTTTAGCACATGGTTTCAGAGGTTTCAGTCCATAGTCCTTGACTCTGTTGATTCTGGGCCTGTGGTAAGGCAGAACATCATGACAGTGGGAGCATGTGGCAGGCTACTCTCCTTGTGGCAGAGAGGGAGGACTTGGGAGAAGATACATCAGTGCATTAGCATTTTATATCCAAACCATAACAGGTGTCACTAGTATACAACCCATATGGATATTCTATTACTTTGTTAGGAATGAGTACCACTAATACACAATTTTAAGAGGTGGGTTAGAGACAGAACATTTAATTGTAATAGCTAAGACAAATCAGGGAAGTTCTATCTGAAATAAAACTATTAAGTAGAAGTTTAAAGATGTTTGTATAATAGGTAACAGGTGTTTTGAGACTTTATTATGTGAAAATAAATACTTTTTATTGCCTTGTCTTTAACTTGTGATTTCCTGTTTCTCTTTATTGAATTTACCTTCTCCTCATCTCACTTTCTAAGCCTGAAACCTCCATGATCTTTCATCTTACAGGTCTATGGTAGTACCAGAATAAGAAAATATTTACACACAGTCATCTGTACCTGTTTGTGGTCAATGTCAATGTGTTTTAACAAATTTGTGCACACCTGTGTAACCGCCATCACAGTCACGATTTGGAATATGCCACCAGTCACTCCCGTGGTTCTGTGCTTTTGCTCTCTTGGAACTCTTCCTTTCTACGTTTTTAAATAATTCCTGTCTCAAATGGTATCTTGTCTGTGAATCTTTTTCTGATTATATCATTTTGAATTTATTTCCTTCTCTTCTGACTGTCCTGAATCTTCTGAATGTCCTCTGATGCGACACCTAAACCAACCGCATACACATGGCCAGCACTTATTTACTGAGAAAATGGTTAATGTAATATTTTTGAAACTGAAGTTCTTGGTTTTGCCATATTTGCATATTTCCTATATACTATTTCTTTATATTAGTATGTTTATTAAAATTATTTTTAAAAGAAACTTGAAATAACCATAGTTAAAAGCTGGTAATACATAAACAGAAGGTCGATAAAAATCAAGAAAACGAAATAGTTGTTAGGCTGTAGCTAGAAACTATTGCTCTCTCAAGGCTCTAATCCTGGGACTGGTTGCTCTTTCTTTAAAAGGGAGAGATTAGCCAGAATTTCCATAGTGTTGATAACATGCTGGCGCCAAAATGAGACTTTCTTCTCAACTCATTCCAAGGAGTTAGAAGAGAATGAAGAGGGGATAACTTTCTCCCTTGATTCAGTGTCACTTAGCCCAGGCCTGGATCCCACAAAGTCATCTCCTATCCAGTTGGTGACGCAAAGTTGGAGAGGTACAGAATTAATCAGGATTTAAGAATTTCTTAGAATTTATTTTTGGAAGAATTGGAAAATAAAACCTTAATTGTTCATTTAAAAGTGTACTAAAGGTAACTTTAAAAATATAATACAGTGATGAAAACAATATCATTATTGAATGATATAGATATCTTTATTTTTAAAAAATATCCATTTTACTAATTCTGCTTTTTATAAATAAAACAGCACCATATTGTTAAATGGAAAATTCTAAATCTAAAAACTAGGAGGAGACTTCTAATTTATACAAAGGGATGACTGCTCATTCTGGGGTGATAAAATGTAATGTAAGTTAATAAGGTAATAAAAAGAATCATATACCTCCTTTTTTCTTTTGTCACATAAGTTTTATATAGCTATATTTTCATATTTCCATCCTGCTAAAGATATTTCTAACCTTTTTTCTTTGGGATAATGACAAATTCTCCTGACTTATGGAAGGAGTTTCACAGAAAATAAATTTCCTGCTCTTCTCTTGTATAGTGTACATCTTATATTTCAAGTTTCTATGATTATTTATAGGCATATACCTAGATTGTGTGCCTATGATTAGCTGTTTTGGTTTCATGTGCCAGAGCTCAGGTAAATAGACCATTTAGTTTGGTGTTACTGTTTTTTTTTTTTTAATTGACCAAAGTGGTGATAATAAGTTTGTGAGTGCACACAATAATTTGCTACTCAGCCACAGGTTAGATTGCTGTTAATGTGTAAAGTTCTGATCTGCAACTTCAAGTTGGAGGTTAGAAAAGAGTGTTTTAGAATGCATGGTCTGTCTCACAAGACAGCATTCACCCATATAAGAGGTTTCCTTTACGTTTCTGTATATAAATTAAAGCAGCACTGTAGAAAAAGTACACATACACTGTGTCTCAATTTAAAAAATTCCTGAAGAGAAGATTTCCTCCCTCCAAGGGAAAAAAACAAGACATAGTACTTGCTTTAGAGCTAGTCTAAGTCATTTTGTAGCAGATACACATTTAAATCGCTTCCTTATTGTGTACAGTGCTACCACCAATTAGGGTTCAACTTTGAGCCTGAATGAGGGGTTCCAGCAAACTAATTTTTATGGCATCTGACATGCTATTGGAAGGCTATCTTCAAAGCTCTGTGCTACAAGCCTACCTGATTGTATAACTTGATGCTATTCATTTTATGTAATCTGACAACTACTGTTTATATTGTATGTTTTAAGTTACAGAAGTTGTAACTTAAGCAATGGAAAATGCTATTTGTGAATAAACTCTTTTTTAGTTACAAATCATCTCAAACTGTAGTGATTTAGAACTATATCTCCTGCGGTTTCTGCCAGAAGGGACAGGGGAGTTGTTTGGCTGTTCTGGCTTGAGTTTCTTGTGTGGTTGCAATCTGATGATGGCCAG